AATATCCTCAAATTAATTATCTGGTTATTGTATTAAGGGTAAGGGTTACTATATATCAACATAAAATGAAGGGTGCTGAAATGTGTGTGTAGACAAGATGTTAAAAAAAGAAGTTTAATTGACGAATTACATTGACGAAGCAGTCGGGGAAGAAGAAGCGGATAATGGAGGCGCCGCGAGGGTTGGAAGAAGCAGCTAAATTAAGAGAGAAAGCACAGATATAGTGCAATAACCAAGAAACAGGTAGGGGGAGCCATAGCCAAGAGCTTCAATCTGAGAATAAGAAGAGAGGAGATGAAGACTGGAGTGAGTATAAGGATAAAGGATTCAAGAAGAGCAAATATATATATATATATATATAGAGAGAGAGAGAGAGAGAGAGAGTGAGGTAGATCAAGTGTCAAAGATGCATGCTGCTTCCACAAGGTTTTGCATTGCGTAACTAAGAGCAAGCCGAAGCAAGTGGGCTGCGAGAGATAACGTGAGAGGGTGTTTTCCTGGTAATTACTACGCCTTAATTAAGCTTCATTATTGTGGCGGAGATGATCTTCGTCATGGGAAAGGGGTCCGATCCTCTCAGCGTCTCAATATGATGCATCCAGATTGATCTAAGAGCTCATAACGTGTCACATAAACCTGACAAATCCTATAAAATTTTTTTGTACCTTTAAACCATTTTTAAAATTTGTTTTGGAGGAAAACACCTAATTTTTTGGACCTACTTATTTTAATTATAAAATTTACTGACGTCCGAACTATATAAATTAAGTTATATAAATTAAGTCAGATGAGACCATAAAGAAAAGAAGTTTTACTATCAAGTATTTTAATTAAAAATTAAAATAATTAGTATAGTTTTGTTATTCTTTATATGGTTCTATTTGACTCGAACTACATCATACTGGAGTGAGATGAATGTTCTAATTAAAATTAGATAGGTCTAGAAATTGTATATAAATACTTGATGATTGAGTTTTTTTTTTTTGGTCTTTCACATGATTATTTAAATAACTGAATTTGTCTAGGAATCTCATGAATTCTCTTGTTGGGTAGGTGCAAAAAAATTGGATATTCCATGAAAAAATAAAACTGGTAAAAAATTTTACCCTATAATTAAAACTTATTTTTAATTTTTAATAGCACAATAATGTGGCACATCATGAACTCTCAAATTAATCTCAACGGTCATAATTGGACACTGAGGGACGCTGAGAGTATCCTCTTCCCATGGGAAGAAGCTAAGGTGGGAGCTGCGTCCATGGTGAAGCAGACAGAGAATAGTAGCCACGTGGAGTTGATTTGGAAATTAAATAAATTTTTGCCACATAAGATAAGTTAAAGATAACAAGAATAATAATATAAAAAGTGACTCACCATAATTTATATAATTTTAAAATTTGACATTTCACTAATTAATTTTTCTGGATCTTAAAATCTCAATTGTTTTCCCGAAACATGACAACTTCTGCCTCTGATGCGACCGGATCACCGGATCCATCATGAATGATTAATCAATGATAGACATTAAGATTCCAAATAAACAAACAGCGCCTACCCATTATCTTCTTAACCACTCTTGTGGGCCAACCTTATTAGCATGTACTACTTCTTATCTTTAATATAAGATTATATTTGATTTTTATTTTGATCCTAAATATAAGACATCAATATACTTTTTCTTTCATATTTATATATTTTTTTTGAAAGTAGCCTTTATAATAATAATAGTTCTAGTCAATATATTTGATTAGTAAGGATATTTTAGGAAAAACAACACCTATTTAGGATAAATAACAAACTCAACTTATTTTCTTAATTTCTTCAAATTAGTTAACTGGCTCTTATAATTAGGACTGGAGTTAATATTTGAATTAATGGTGATAAAATTGATTTTTATTCTATCTGATTTTTGTAAAATTCCGTTAGAATAAAAGTTAGTGTAATATAATTTATGTTTGGATTAATTATTTTATAAAGGTTAGTTTGCTAAATTAAAACATGTTTGGATGAGTAATGAAAAGTAAATTTAGATATAAAATAATTGAAAAAGCCATGAGTTTTATAACATATAAATGATTTATATAATCCGATAAATTTAAAAAATAATAAATAAAAATAAAAATTATAAAAATAAAAAGAGTTAATACTTATTTATATTATTAAGGTTAAAATTATAAAAATAAAAATAATTAATGCATTATTGTGCAAATTTAAAAAATTAAAATACTTAAATTTTAGAAAAATTTGTACTATGTGTGTATAAAATTTGCAAAGTGCCGCTACTCTGCGCATATACAAATTTGCCAATTCTTTCTCATCAATTAAATTTTAATGAAAATTTTTTTCCACTTTTCTCTAAATTTTATTATTTAACTTTGTTCTCTAGATACTCTCTTTGCATCTAACACACAAAATTACTAAAAAATATTTTAGGGTACTGAAATATTTTTTTATATACATTTAACATCCTAAATTATATTTTGATGCATTTAATATTTTAAAATTTTTTCAGGTACGTCTAATACCTCAAGTTATTTTTTAGTGTGTCCAACATTTAAAATTGTTATGCATAAATTTGTACTAAAAAATATTTTAAAGTGTTAGATACACTTTAAAAATATCTGAGAATATTGAAAATATTTGAAAAAATACTTCTTGCTATTGATGTATCTTAATTCTTTTATTTTTTTTCCCATTAAAGTAAAGCAGGTATGATTCAAAATTCTTCTCTTTCATCACGTTATTCATTGTTTATCTCTCTCCACATTTTTCTATTCACGTTCGCTTTTGAGTTTGGCCCCAAAAGCTATAAACTTTGCCTTTTATCACTTTTGATCCTAATTAGAAAAACTAGTTGACTAATTTGAGGAGATTAAAGAAGTAAATTGAGTTAGCTATTTGTCCTAAATAAGTGTTGTCTATCTTAAAATATCCTTGCTAATCAAGTCTATTGGCTAGAATTATCATTGGTAAAAGGACTACTTTGGAAAAAAAAAATATAAATATGAGAGATACAGTGGATTGAGGTCTTATATTTAAAATCAAAATAAAGGCCAAACAAAATTTTATATTAAAGATCGGAGGTAGTATTTCACCATAATTTTTTCTCCAAAAATCTATTTCCTCTGGTTTGAGTCTAAATGCATTAAATAAGCCACCAACTCAAATTTCGCATTTTCTCACCCCCTTTTAGGGTGCGTTTGGAATCACATATGGACCTTCAAACTGACTTCTCTACCGGAAAAAGGAACCTTTTTTATTTGGCATGTGTTTGGAATCAAATTTTTACAATCTGACTTCTGTCATTGAAACGAACTTATACAATAAGCTCAAAGAAGTTGCTTTTATTCAATCTGACTTCTGTAAAAGTCAGATTGAAAAAAAATTACTTCTCCACCGCTAATCCAAATACACTCTTACTTCTCCCAACCGCATTCCAAATGCCGGCTTACTTAAATTGGATAGGCATACCAGAAAGGGTTGCGATATTCTTCATCCCAACGCAATAATCCCATCCGCATTTATATTATTAAGGTTAAAATTATAAAAATAAAAATAATCAATACATTATTGTGAAATTTTCAAAAAATTAAAATATTTAAATTTTAGAAAAATTTGTACCATGTGTGTATAAAATTTGCAAAGTGCCGTTACTTTGCGTGCAAATTTTTTTTATCAATTCTTTCTCATCAATTAAATTTTTAATGAAACTTTTTTCCATTTTCTCTAAATTTTATTATTTAATTTTTTTCTAGATACTTTTTTTGCATCTAATACATGAAATTGCTAAGTGTAAAATTACACTAAAGAAATTTTAGGGTACCGAAATATTTTTTTTGTGCATCCAATATTTTAAAATTTTTTCAGGTGCGTCAAATACCCTGAGTTACTTTTTGTCTAGGAGTATTCAGTTTGTCTCGTCCCGATTGTCCATCCTAGTCTCAATGAGTTTGGAACAGGACAAGATGAGACCAAAAAAATTTCGAGACGAGACAAACGACCCCGTCCAAGGTTTTTTTTAATTATTTATTAATAATTATTATTAGATTATTGAATTTACTTATTAACAATAATAATTCTTACTTTTATAGTGATTTTTAACTCTTAGGTTGTAGTATTATCTCAACAAAATCTCATTCCTCAATAAAATAATTTATAAATTCATTATATAGTGTTTTTCTTGCGGTATTTTTTTATAGTATTGTTTTTACATCTTTTTTTATACTATATGATTGAGCTTTCTACATAATTTTTTTATAATGTTTTCATCTTCAGAAGCCCAATGAAAAATAAGCATTATAACATAAAAAATTCATATAAAAATTATATATATTTTTTAAAGAAGGGGAAGCGGGATGTCTTGGTTCAAACAAAATCCCTGTCCTGTCCCGGTCTCGTTCCGTCACGTGAACACTTTTACTTTTTGATGTGTCCAACACCCAAAAATGTTAGTATAAATTTGCACTAAAAAATATTTAAGGTATTAAGTACGCTTCAAAAATATTTGAGAATATTAAATTATCTAAAAAAATGCTTCAATATACTTAATATATATTAATTCTTTTATTTTTCATTAAAGTAAAGTAGGAGTCACTTCAAAATTCTTCTCTTTCATCACATTATTCATTATTTCTCTCTCTCTTTCTCCCCATTTTTCTCTCCACGTTCCCTTTTGAGTTTAGCCCGAAAAGTTATAAATTTTGGCTTTTATTTCATCATGGTTTTTTCCTTCAAAAACCTATTTCCTCTGACTTGAATCTAAATTCCTTAAATAAGATACTAACTCAAACTTCGCATTTTCTCATGCACTTTTACTTCTCCCAACCGCATTCCAAATGCCGTCTTAACGCAATAATCCAATCAGTAATTAATGCGGAGCATCTCATTCAACTGCTCATTACTGTGACCGAACACCGAAGCTGTTTCCTTATATAAATGCATCCTACCTTCACCTCGCTGAGTCACGAACCAGACACAAAAAGCAGTTCGGAGAAGCAAAAATGGATGTGCCCGACCTGCATTTTGTAGCTGTGACGAGCGTGCGGCCGCCGAAGATAACAGAACCACGGCGAGTTCGCCGAGTTTTGGTGAGTGACCCTACCATCAACTCGGAAACTTTCCATGGGTGTTACCAAGTGGTCTTGTATTATGAAAACTTGAACGAGGAGCTCGGGGATGCATGGGTTCTGGCAGGGTGGACTGTGGATTCACTGACCAGAGCTCTATCGGAGTACCCATTACTTGCGGGCCGACTTCAGAGAAAGGAGGAGGGTGACGGTGGCTACGCCGAGGAAATGGAGATTGTGTCTAATGATAGTGGCATTCGAATGGTGGAAGCAAGAATCTCCATTGCTCTCTCAGACTTTGTTGAATCCAGTGAAAGACATAATCTTGAGCACGAGCTTGTCTTTTGGAAGGATATCGACGAGCAGAGCCCTGAGTTCTCACCCCTGTTCTATGTTCAGGCAAGATACACTCCCTTCATAATCAATATACTTCCATTTAAACGCTTGAACTTGCAAGTCTGAGATGAGATGACTGTGTTTTTCAGGTGACGAGCTTCAAATGTGGAGGGTATTCGATCGGCATTAGCTGCAGTCTGCTCCTGGCAGATTTCCTGGTGGTCGATAACTTCCTCAAGAAATGGGCGGACATACACAAGAACCAAGTAGCACGTAGTGCAGAAACAGAAACACCCATATTTTATCATCCTCGTCTAAGACATCCAGAATCTCTTCCCGCCGCTATAACTAGACGTACGCCATACAGAAATGGAGGCCAAAACTTATTATTCAAGATCGCTGCTTCAGAAGATTCAGAGTTTGAGAGGGAATTAGCTCGTCTTTGTGTTCGCGAGGCTGAGAAAAAGCTCCGCAGAGAGATTGGTTCGGAGTTTTGTTTGTTTGTGAAGGAAGCCCATGAGGTTGTCATGGTGGAGACCTGTTCAGAGGGTGAAAAAAGCGGGCAGGCAAGGGGGCTCAAGAATCAAATGAGTAGTACGACATGGGACGAGTTTGGAGATTACCACGTAGAGTTTGAGGAAGGGAACAGGCCTGTCCATGTGTTTCGTAGGATTGGATCGGCTTCTGATAGGATCTTCGCAGCAGTCACATACCCAAAAAAAGGCGTCTATGTCGCGGTTGTGGTCATTTCACCTTGCTGCTGAAAACGGGACTCTCCAAATGATCCATATATAGCAATCATTTCCATATGTTGCATCTGCTCTAAACTCTTTAAAGTGATAATTTGTTAGTTTGTGATACGTCCGAAAGTCACTTAGCATAAAACTTAAAAGTTCGTGTTGTTTGTGTGTAAATCATATCTGAATCTGCGCCATGCTGATGGAAAATTTCCAAAGCTTGGCAAGGCCAGGTTTTGTGTCAGCTTTTAAATTTGTGGGTACATCATGGCACGGCTTTGGATGGCCCAAACGAAAAAAATAGTGGCTGTTTAAGGATGTCCGTGCAACCTCGTTGTTATCTGCAGCCTTACTGTTATCTTTCGTTTCAAGTTATGAAAATTTTTTTCTTAGGTCCAAGAATATTAATATTTTTGTTGGAAATAATCCAATTCAAAATATTATTGGACACCAAATGCCGCACTATTCTCAGCATGGATTTGAAATTTGGAATCTTGTTTCGCCAGTTCCCGAGAAGCTAGCCCATTTTATTAAAGTCAATTCTCATTGCTTCATGTTATCTTTAGTCCTTAATACAAGAGTTAGTTTGACTTTTAATTTAGTCCTAAATATAAGATCTCAATCTGCTTTATCTTTTATATTTATCTATTTTTTCAAAGTAGTCTTTATAATAGTTATACATGTTAAATATTTCATCAAATGCTAGTTATAGCTAATACACATTATCAGCAAGGATATTTTAGAAAAAATAACACCTAATTATTACAAATGAATAATTTAAATTTTTTTTTTAATCTATTTAAATTAATCAGTTAGGTTTTATAGTAAGGATAGGAGGTAACGCTATGTAATTAAACGACAGGTGGTGACTTGCGAGTTTGAATATGATAAGTGCGTGACTTATTAAAATAAAATTAAAAAAGAAAAGGCCTGCTCTGGACCAATTATTTGGGCCAGCCTGGACCCTTATTCTTATCTGGGCCTAAACTACTGAGCCCATCCATTATTTCATTTTTCGGCCTTTATATCAACCACGGTAGTGATGTACGGCAACTCTGCAAGTTCGAGGATCGGATATCAGTACTTGGGCACAGCTTCTGAGCTCAACGGCGGATCGGTGGCTAACGCAATTTTGACACTTCGTGGAGATATAAGGATTCGGAAGTAATATTGTTCTATTGGCTCGGTGGTGAAATTTCATGAGAACCATGTTTACAGAAGCAAGCTTAAGATATGTTTGTCTTATGTTTTTAAAATCCAAGCTTGACCTTCCCATTTTGCTTTCGCGCCGGTGCCCGACTTGTTCATTGCCTTTGTAATTTTATGTTTCGGTTAAGAGGTAAGATCGAGGGTAGCTATGCGGGAAACCTTGAGGAAGAAAGAAATGTTTTTGCTTTTGGAATTCGAAGGGTAAAATCGCAGCAATCAAGAGGTAGAATCTTCATACTTTAGTTGGAATATAGAGCTGGGGAGAAAGGCAAGGAGGCTTGTGGAGGAATGGAGAGTGGGAGTAGTGTTAGCGGTATTAATAACATAGATAGCAATGAGGGAAAGTATTTTCAGGCAATGCGGATAGGGAATCCATTTACTTTCAAAGTGGGTCAAGTATTTACGGGTTTTGGCATCGGCTGTGGTGTAGGAATCGGTGTTGGCCGCCCTTTAAATTTAGGTACTTTCTTCTCCTCTGTAATTTCTCTCCTACTCTGTTTCTCGGAATTCGTGTAGGAAGAGATGGACTTCGGTGGCCCTTCCAAACCCAAAAATGGGGACAGTCGTTCACAAACTTCTACTAAGAAACCATGTATCTATTTTGTTTCATAGGCTAATCCTTTGAAATTCGGATTTAACTTTGTTTATTATATACTAGCAAATGTGCTGATGTTGAAAGCGAAGCGCGGGAATTACTTTTAAGCATAAGCCGCAGCTCAAATGAGGATTATATTAGATGATTATCATGCATTTTGTATTCTTATCATCTTATGTTTGTCTCTAGGCATTTTATATCTTATTCGTTTTAATTTTTAACTAAATATCCATTGATTTGTTATTGATTAGCTTCGTCATTGTTTTCCTTGTGTGTACATACTTTATTTGTGTTCTCTCTTTGAACGCTAACACACAATATCCATACGCTTCTTTATTATTAATTTGAAATTTTACTAGGATAAATCAATTCCATGTAGGTGCTATACCCATGCTGAATGAAGTAATGAGTGCCACCAGAGGAGCAACTGATGCATTTTCTGGTGTTAGCAGACATGTAAACAATTCTGTAAGTCATAATTCGTCTTCTTATATTTAAAATTATGGTGCTGTTACGGTGCAGGATAACTTCAATTCCTTTTTTGCTTCTATAGTTTCTGGATAAATAATTTAAAGATTTTAATCAAATTTCGATTTCTCATGTTTTATTCAGTTGAGGAAGTTTGGAGCTAAAAAAGTTGAAGTGGGCATTGGATGTGGTTTTGGTTTTGGTCATGGCTTTGGAGTTGGTATGTCAGGAGCGTTCACTTTCTTATATCTCTTTGAAGCTTTGAAGATTCTTGTGCAGTGCTTCTGGAGGGTCTCTGTTTCTCTGTTCTTTGGAGAATAGACTAACGTTTATTATAAAATTTTTTTGTATTGAAGTAGTAAAACTACATTATTCTTTTCTTTGTTGATCTTGCTATGCGTGGTGTAGGTTGATCCTATAAAATGGATATTCATATCACTACTTCCATAAGCCAACTTGTTTTGATGTTATAATTGCCGTGGGCTTGGTATTCACAAAATCATTTCAGTTTCAGTGTGATATGACTGATTCTTGAAAACGCTCCTAGGAAGCAGCTTGCAAGTTTCTAATGTTTATATAACTGTGTTTTATCATATAAATAAATATGCATTAGTTGACCATGAACTATAATTTATCACTGTAGTCACAGAAGATAAATTATAATTTGAACCTAAACCATGAACTTTGTGATTCTGTGTGCATTGTACATCAAGGCATAAAAATTAGGAAACGTATTACACTGCCAGGAACTGCCCCTACATATTCTTTTTGGTCTGATTTGCCGCTATTTTTCTAAGCCGATTGCACATTAAACTGAAACCTTGGGTTTGTCAAGGAATAAATCATATTTTCCTGGTTTATTTCTCTTTGCTTCTTGACTGGGCTAAAATTTTGTCTGGTCATGTTACTTGAAGATGATACTTCATTTTTCATTAAAAATTTTCAATTTTCAATTAATAGGAAGCTTTTTCCCCCCTTTCTATGATAGGACTTGGTGTGAAGCCCGGGGTGTTGCAACAAATTCAAACTAATATCATAGTATGTAAATTTTTCTCTAATTTCAAGGGTTTCCTTTTATTATCTGGTATTTTCTATGCATGACATATTTAAATATTCAATTTGTCAGATAGCAATGACAAAGATGATGATAAAGCTTGGAATTGGCCCCAAACTGCCCTTTGGTCAGGGTGCGTTGCCATCATCCCTGCAAAGTAGCGTTGGCATGATCAATGCAGTATCAAACCTATCATCTAAGGGAAACATGATGAATCTGGCAAGAAAAGCACTGGACCAAACATCTCAAGGTCCAACAGGGTCTCAACCGATGCAAATCGGCTCAGTTTCTGAAAATGTTCCATTCAAAGGCAAAGCAGTTGACGCTACATATGGAAGTCGAACTGAGAAGGTTCTCAATGAGTTTCTACAAAATCCATTAGTGAAGGGTGAGGGAGACGCAAATGAAGAAGCGGTACACATAATGCAACCAATGCTTGATCATAACTTGTTTGCCAGTTTTCTTGATGATATAACAAAAGAGAACTATAGGAATAATTCACTAAATATTATAACTGGATGTATGCTTTTACTTCCATCTATTAAAGTCCATCGACTTTTTTTTTAAGAGGGCTAAACATCTCACAGTTTCTTTTATACTGGATTTTTAACATGCCATTTATGCTTCGGGAGTGGATGAAATGAAAGAGTTTGCTTTTGTGATGTGTACAGACTCCTTCAAGAGCATACTTACAAAATAGTGGCATTGATGATTAGATTTTTTCTCCTGATCAGAACTATTCTCGTGTTTGATTGGACTTCAGTAATTTGCTAATAGCAAGTCAGTGGTCAAACTTGTTATTGAGGCTAGAAATCATTGGTTGTCAGCCCTTGAGCTTGTGTGCGCCATGAGTTTATTAGCATTTTAAAACGAGTGCCTGTAGTATTACATGACAGTCTAAAAGAATTTAGAGCAATTAATGAGGATAAGGTGATGGAGTTTCTGAAATTTTATGCTTTTGAATATAAGTTTGTTGATTTTTATTCTATTTGGTGATTTGTGGTGGTTATCGGGCGAGTCTCGTATTTATACCTGAAATCCTTGTGTCAAACATGAAATCTGAAGCAGACAAAGTTGGTGTCAGTTACCTTTTGATATGCGCATTTGTCTGCTGGAGTGTTCTTTTCCCTTCATTATTGTCCCGATTCGATCCAATATTATATGTTCTAATTGATGGTTATATTTTAGGCCACGCGATTACAATCGGAGAATGACATACTTAAGATGGTAATTTTTCATTCTTACTATGTTAATTGTGCTATTTGCTTTATTGTTAAGCTCTCAAAGATTAAATTTATTAAAGCTGTGGGGGATTCAGGTTTTGAGGCACCAGAAAATTATTGAAGAACTGGTGGAGGAAAATGAGAAGCTTCGTCAGATACTATTGGAAGAGCTGAAAGTACCATCTGACAAGCTCAGTGCAAGCTCTTCAGTTAGAACTAAGTTGCCCTGTATTGATTGTATTGAATGCCGAAGAAAACAGAGAAAAAAGTAGGTTAACTCTTAAGAAGAAATAATGACCTTCTTATGAAGTGCTTACCTTACCAACCATTCCTGGTGATGGATAGCCTTTCATGTTTTTGTCTTGGTGTGTACTTTGTATTCCGCAAGGGTTTCTGATCATTGTTTATTTGTTTGTTCGTTATAAATTCCAGGAGACGTATAAATCATTGTAGCTTGTAGAATGAAGAGAGAACGTTATGTTAGAAGAGATGTGTAACAGCATATATTGGTCTAGTCCCTAATCGAAATTTTAGTTCTGTGTAATTTAGTCTCTATTGAGTTGTTTTAACTCAGTTTCTGAACTTTAACTCATTTTTTTTTTGGCCAAAACTTTTAAGTCATTATTGAAATTCAGTCCCCATGATTTTGACGAATGTTTAAAGGGAGTGAGTTGTCATGGTTCAAAATTCAGAAACTCGGTTACAACTGAATTAAAATTGTAAAAACCAAGTCACATTGAATTAAGCTTCAGGAACTGAGTTATGATCGAGTCAAAATTATGAAGACAGATTAATATTTCTTATTTTATATTAATAGATAAAACTCAAGCTTCCGGATGTCAAAACGAGACGGCGTAAACATGTGGCTAACGTGTGGATATGTGATTGAGAAAAGTATCATTTTGGGATAACGTGGAGTTGCTTTTAAATATGATAGCTTAATTATGCTTATGGTATTTAATAGGCTGATAATTCATGAGTGATTATGTGTTGTTGAAATAGGCTGGGTTCAGTACAGGACAGGTCACGAGCCACAAAAATTAGTGCATGACAAGTTTCACGTTACAACACCTTTCAAGTGGAATCTAATGCCGCTTTAATCTTTTTTTTTTCCCCTCCCCATGTTGTTGTAAATTCTGTATATGGCTATAATCTCAGGATGAATGAATACGTGTTGGAATAAATTCACGGAATTTTGGAAATGCTTGTCTGTGATTTTGTGCTCTCTGTATGGTTGCTTCCTCTTTCTAGACTCTTCTCTCCACTACCCTCCAATTTCATAAACAATAAACCACAGCCACACAACACTGACTTGTAACTCCTTTTTACTTTTCTCTTGCCATCATACTCACTCGGAACTTGACTCCAGCAAGTCTACTTTACTTTCCCCTTCTCCAAAACCCCCCCCCCCAAAAAAATTGTTCGCTATCCAATACTAAATATGAACATCACGAATTTAAATCTTGCTAAATCTATCCAATTGATACACCTATAAGCTTTACTATTTCCATGTTGTGCTGGTTTTGTAATTAAGAGAATTATAACGAGCTTTTAAAGGAAAAAAAAATATAAATACCATAAAATCTTAATGATATGTTAGAGGTTGTCATCTTCTACAATAGAATTTGCCGTTGTTAGTAAAATCTTTTAGTAATAATTTTTTTTGGGATTTGGTGGCAATTTTTCTTTTTAAATATTTAGTTTCCTTTATTTTTTTTTACCCAAGACATATTTTTCTTCTTTTTTTTCTTTTTTCAAGAAAAGATGACTACTTTAATTTTCTGACGCATTAGCCATCATAAAATATTTATTCATACAATGTAAAATAATAATTATTGAGAAAATGAGTTTGATCTCTCTCTAATCATAATGAGTTGGCAAGTTCATTTTTGTGAGTGAACGATTGTAAAAAAAATAAAAACAAAATCCCAAAGTGGCGACTCCCTTCTTCAACGCTAGCTCCCACATTTTCCACTCTCAATGAATCAACACCTTTCCTTTTTCCTCTTTCCGACACCACCCACTTTCTTTCTTACCCAACCCCCCAAACTATCTCTGTATCCACGGATTTCACAAACCCAGAATCATATTATCAGGGACGTGTACCTTCATTACTAGCAGGAGTCTAAGACGTTTACTTGATCTTGCATTGGTTATAAGCTAACCATAAAATTCTTGTGAAGACTTGGAGCTACAATTGAGCTTTGTTTTTGCAGGAAAAAAATTGTGAAGCAAGTAGGTGTTCTGTAGTCTGTGCCACCAGGAATAGAACCAGAGAAGAAATCAGCAAATCTCTGTTATTTTAGCAGCAAAACAGTACAATGTGACAAATGATATATATCACTAAGATAATCTCACCCTGCCGAACAAATCACTAGAGGATCACCTCAAGAATCATCCACAAAATCTAAGAGAACTGAACAGAACAGAAACAGGGGTGGGACTCAAAAACAAAAGGAGTTAAAAAAAACAAAAAAACTACCCAGATGCATATATGAATCTACACGTATTTCAGGCAAAGACACTGAATTTAAGCAAGAAACAGAGCAGCTCCTCCGCACAAGGCCGTCAAGGCCAAACTGCTTCCATGAAGAACGGCGGTGTTGTTGGGATTCGATGGCGGCACTTGACCTGTTGGCGACGGCGTTGGCGGCGTCTTCGGCGAAGGTCCAGGAGCGTTTTTTGGGGGAGATGGTGGACTAGGTGGTGACGAGGGTGAGGGTGAGGGCGACGGTGACGACTGAGGTGTAGAAGGAGGGGGTGCAGGTGGTGAGCTTGCTGAGGGGCCAGGGCTTCCGGGACTCGGTGACGGTGAAGGAGTTGGGGAAGAAGACGGCGGAGCAGCCGTGGGAGAAGAGGCTGGAGGCCGGGATGGGGCGGTGGCAGGGCCTGACCTGCTCGGAGAAGGCGTTGCAGTGGTTGTTGGCGGCTTAGCAGATCCTCGCGGCGCAGGTGAGGGAGCCTGGGCAACGGACAATGAGACGAGAGCCAAGGACATGGCTATCACGAACATGGCACGTGTAAGCGCCATGGCTGGGGAAAAAGATAAAGCTTGAGAGTTGCAGAGAAAGCGGGGGTAGTAAGAGGCCAAGGAAGGGGGTCAGTGTGAAGAACAGAGGAACTCGGCTGTGAGATTCATATATAGCAAGAGATCAGCCTCTGCTTATGTCACACCTGGATGCACTAATCTTACATCCTATCAATCAAAGTTGACACGTATAAAAATGCTCCAATCCGATACGATACCATTAGATGCTAGGCAATCATAAAAAAGTTACAATCACTTTTATTTTTCTCTTCAAATATATGATTATAGAATTTTTTAAAAAAAACATAAATAAAATTTGCTTAGAAATTGATAGTTTTAAAGTCGCTAAGCAAAATCAAAACTTGAAGTGATTGGTTTACTTCTGATTGAAAAAGAATGTTATCTTGTGGATTATGGAACTAGTGGTTCTTATTTTGATTGAAAGTACAGCGGAGGAAAGATAAGGAGGCATTCTGGTATGCTGCAATGAAAAGTCGTTTCTTTGTGAAATGGTTGCGTTTTGATGGGTACAAGCTGTGGAAGAATAGTAGTGGTTTTGCCAGAGAAATGAATAAAGATGAAGAAACAACTTAAAAAAAGGGAGGGCCGGTTCCATTTTCCTGAGTTGTTTGTAAAGAAAGAGAGAAAAAGCAGGAAGGATGCGTGTGTCCCCAGTGGAGAAAAGGCACTTTGCCAAAAGCCAAAGACCATAGACAAAAAGGAAGGATGTGGTAGGCAATTGTGTGATTTTATGTTTTGGGACTTGTTTTCATTCATATGATAACAATATACATTATCAGATCCACAGAGAAGAAAAGGATCATTCATTCTGCAACATCAAAGAAGATTGTGTGAGAAAATAAAGAGAGTGATGGAAGGCAAAAAAAAAAAAAAAACAGAGCAACATAAAAAGTGAGTGTTGCAAAGGTGGGAAGGGCAGGCTGTTAGCCACCATCACAGGGGATTACAATGCTGTTAAGTAAGTAAGAGTATACAAGTTGTCCTAATAACGTCACATTTATCATTGTGATTAAATTGTATAAAACTGAAAAAAAGAAGAAGAAAGTATTGCAGTTTACTTTTCACAATCTTCTTTAGATAAAAAAGGAGAAATCATTCTTAAGATAGTTTCTTTCAATTTTTAATTTAGTATCTACGTATTTTTTTATTAAATTATTTAGTTTTATTTTATTAGCACAATTAGTTTTTGTACATGATCTACTAATACTAATGGAGCAAAGTTATAGAGATTTATGGTGTTACAATAGTAAAATTAAAAGATATAATAAGAAGAAAAACACATAAATATTAATGGAAAGAAATTATAGTTACGCCAAGAATGGCTTCTCAATAAATGAAAAAGTGATATTGATGAAAAGGAATGCGCAAAGCAGCAGAGAGCAATGTGGGAATGAGAATCGAAACTGCTCATTTAGAGAACGCTCAAGCTAAGGTTTCTGACTAGTTTTTTGAAGTGCTAATTTCGTTACTTGTATATTGGGTTTAGCTAGTGCTTGATGCTGATTCTGTGGTTTGTTAAACGCGGCATGGACCACAACCAGAAGTCCTGGGGTTACAAGTCAGTCAACTAAGTCAATTCTTCAGCTTTGTCCAATTTCATGTTCGAAATGACAGAATTAACCCCCTCCAGGTTGAAAGTTCCTCATTTTTTCTTGGTCAAAAACACTTGAGCAGAAAGTTTAGAAACGAACAAAATGCAATTAATAGAGGTGAATGACTGTGTGGCCTAGGTCTCATAAGGTGAGCTGAGGTGGGGTTGCAGAAGGGACGGTGTAATATAAGGAGTGGAGCTTTTCACCAGACCAACGCACCTTCCCCGCCTCCCGGCGGGTGGGAGGGGTTAGAGCAGCCTACGCAAATTCATAGCGTAAAAAAAAAAAACAACTAAAAACTCTTATCATCACATTCATTCATAACGTTAAATTCTTTATATATGAATGTTACAGGGGAAAAAGCAATATATGCCACAATTTGTGATCTCGTGATAGTAACTTTGACGAAGTTATGAGTTGCAAGCTAATTTAACAAAGAAGGAAAACCAAGCTCTCTTGCTGAATGTAAAGGCTTATAAGAAGAAATGAGAGTCTGTGCAGTGATAAAGTGGAGCTTTCCAAATAGACGGGTCCATCCCTACATGTTTCTCACGATACTAATAGTAAACAGCCGCGTCCTTGGCACAACCCGGTACAACGCCATTTACTTATTCCATGTTTCCCATTCAACGTCAGCATGAAATATCATATCATACCAGCCTGTCAAACACTCACAGGATGTGCCCCTATCCTTCTTTCCCTTTGTCTTCTTGGAAGCTTCTCACAAAACTCCACATTCTCTACATTATTAGTGGACTTGTGAGCATTGCTTCATTAGCACGCCCATTGACCCAAACCAAACGCGACTACGCCATCTACTTTCAAGTCTTACACTATCCCTTTTAGAATATAAGGAAAAGAGTACACTATTATCCCGTTTGGTATGAAGTATTAAAAATAAAAGATATAAATTAAGAGTGGGATTGAAAAAACCTACTAAAAGAGTATATGTGAGAAATTACTTATTACATGGAATTAAACAAATCTATGCATGTGAGAACATGAAATACCATGACCCCACAGAGTACTCCCCATTCCCACATACATGAGTTTGTCCAATCTCATACAACAAGCAATTACTCATACTAAACTTTTTTAATGATTTTTGTCAATGGCTCCCAATCCCTATCCTTTATTTTTAATATTTCGTAGCATACGGGACCTATAATTTATGTTATTTCTTCTTGTCTTCATCCTATTCACAAGATCCTGGGATGGCCTTTGCTTTTGACCCCTCCATCAGGGACACCACACACAAAATTTAACTTCAATTCCGCCTCCTGGCTTCTGACTCCATCTTTATAATCACCACCAAAGTAACTCCCCTATTGTATCTGTACACTATATACTTCACTTGTCAGACGAACACGCCATTATCGATGTCTCAACTTTTATCACTTTTATACATAAAGTTACATCACAAAAAGAGAGGAAGCATATTATTAGCTACTGCCAGAACCACTATCCAAGTCTGGCAATTTATTTTTCTTATTAAACTCGAGAATTTAGATGCTGAAGGTTCATGAGGTCAAACTTGTGTGTCAGCGTTCCTCATTTAGAAGGGGCCGACATGCAGGGGCTGCAAAAACATCATCAGCAAGTCAGAATCATTGTAGCGATGATCAAACAGATGGATAAATATTCAAGCATTGCTTTTGACATATGCTGCAACAACTGTATAATCCGTGAGAAATTGAAAGTGCTGCGTCTTTGTTAATAGTGGGTGTGCGTGTGCATGCGGGGGAGGGGAGGGGGACAAAGGAATAATGATAAACACGAGCAATGCTACCACGCGACTTCAAAGGAGAAGGGTCGTGCCTAACCAAGCATACTATGTTTGGTTCCTTTATTTAGAATTTCAACAAAGTACATTTGCGTCGACCAAGTTTTGGTCTCACACCATGACTAATTCAACGGGGTATGGATTTTGGGTGTACTATTTTGGGAAGTGCAAAGGGTTCGGGAATCAGGACTCATGTCACGATTTCTTAAAACAAAATTTACTTCAGTTAAACACTGAAATAAGTTCAATGGCCGCTCAATTTTCAATTTGGCAACGTTCACTTCAACAGATGTTTCTGGACGATTTTCACATCATGTGCTCAGAACTGAGTCAGTGATCAAAATATCTCCAAACCACAAATCCATTAGATGAGAAGATTTTGGGACATATTACCTCCAGGGTTGTGCCTTTCACTGGAGAAAGGTATTGATTTGCCAGCTTTCTCAGCAATTTCAGCTATGACCAAACGCGATAAAAGAAGGCCAGCAGCAAAAGCACTCAACATGAGCATAATGAAAACTCCATCCCATCCTTTTCTTGAAATGAAGCCAGTAAGAAGAGGGCCAATAGCCGCACCAACTGATCCAGTGCCATCTATTATGGCAGTCACAGTAGCTAGAGCACGAGAATTACCTCTAAGAGAACTGTGTGTGCCCAAGTCGGCAGAAACCGCAGTGGTGATCAGTGCATAGGGGCCATTTACAAATAGTCCAGTCACCACCATAAGTGCGACGTTGAGGTTCATAGAAAGATTCCCATATAATCGGTACAAAAGCATAGATAAAATCGCAGCATACATGAAGCTAGCTGCTGTTATAGCGCGTGCATGCAGTCTATCAGATATGTAGCCAGCAAGAATGCCTCCAAAAATCCCCCCAACATCGAATAAAGCTGAAAGGTTGCCAGCAGATTTTACAGAGACATACTCTCCACCAATTTCTGCACCATCATAAAAAAGAACAACACGATTAACTACGGCAGTAGATGCTAATTTCAGTATTACATACTCCAATTGCAGGGGGTTTTGTATTGTTAGATGAATATTGATTGTGTAGTTTATAATTTTGGGTAGACCAAACAAAAATGTAAAAGAGGATTCAAAAAGAAACCGGAAGGAGCTGTAACTCCGCTGCTAGTAAGTCAAAAGGGATGAAAATCTAATTATTTAGCACGCCACTTTCAAGGGGAATAGAATGCACTGCCTATTAAATCCCAAAATTGATTGATTTGCCGGGTTAAAAAATTGTAAGCAGGAGATTTTGGTCAACTTTAAATACACACCCTAACATGACAATGAAATTGCTGATTTCTAGCAGGGAACAATTATAGAAGCAATCATAGATGAAGAACTGAATAAGTCTCCTAAAAGTGATTTCAAGTGCATTTTCTTGAGGGGACCGACGTGTCTCCACTATTAATAGTAATACAGTCATGGCACGGTTAAATTCTGGATCCGCGTCAACAAGCAAGCACTATAATCATAAACTCGTTGATCAATAATTGCTCTTCTGTCCTCGATCAATAACCTTGCTGTCTAATACAGATAGAAAAAAAACTAAGTGAAAAAGCATAGAAGAACTTATAATTTTAACATTTCGCTACAGCTAAAACGAAAGTAGATTCATGTTCACCTGTCCGACTTAAGTAATATGGCAACCAGTACAGAAACGTGTAGGCAACAAGCTTGGCGAAGAAAAGGCAGAGTGCAAAGGTTATTACTCCCGGGATCATACATGCTTCAAAAATCCCAACACTCTTTCTGCTCCCTGAGCCTTCTACAGAAGCCAATTCTGCCGCCCCTTCTGACGTAATACCTTTGGTAGTCTGAGGCTGAGCCTCTTCATCATAATGTACGTCCTCTGGATAAGCAGGCAAGAAAAAGTAAACAATTAAGCCCCCAAATACCATCAAAGCTGCTGGAACAATGAAAGACCAACCCCACCCAACCTCCAAAACACTAGCAGCGAGAAGTGAGCCACTTATGTTACCAACAGACGTGTGAGCATTCCAAACACCCATTATCAATCCCCTCTTCCTTTTCCCAAACCAGTTTCCGACCACAGCAACAACGCAAGGCCAGCCTGTTGCCTGGAACAACCCTGCGATCATTTGCATTACGAGATAGAACCAGAAAGAGTGAACAGTCCAGAAGTAACCCATCCCGAAAATCCCAACAAAAATTCCACTCCCAATCATCCCCGTGGTTAAGAATAATCGAAGGTCTAGAGTATCCCCCAAGTGGCCAGCAACGTACATTCCCAAAGAGTAACAAGCCAGAAACGCGACATCAATCTCCCCCAATTTCGAAGTGCCATCGGGGCCCTCAAAGGGCGCCCATCCGTCTCCAATCAACTTAGGATCGTGAGTGAGCTTAGGATTGGGGTGAGGATGCAATACGCTCTTGACTATGCCAATGGGTTTTCTAGAAGCATGGTAACAAGCATATGCTATGAATGTGATCATCAGGACCATATATCTGTAGGTTTTGAGGCGCCAATCCTTGCCTCTGACGCTTCTCATGAGAAGAATCCCAGGTGGGGTTCTCCTGGCTGTTTCAGAACGCTGACACATGCTTAAGATCACGCGAAAGAACTTCAGATGAAGCCCGGAATCATCTGTGGCGTAATATAATTTGCGAAGGTTGAATTTTCAGGAAGCCTGTACGATACGCAGAGGGGTCGGGAAAGTATCAGGATGAGAGATGAGTAGCAGAAACTGCAAAGGAGAAAAAGACGGGCGCATTGGAGGATGATTGATGTGCTGTGGAGAAAGTGCAGGGGTGATGAGCAAGAGAAATGAGGAGGAGTACGTGGCAATCGCTATGAAATTTGAATCGCATAGGGGACGTAGTTGGGCGACACGTGTAAGGGCGGGGATATAGTGCGTGCCAGAGTCGGCTCGGTTGTTCGTGACGGTTGAGTGCCGCAGAACACTGATTCTGGCGGCTGCACCTGGCATTTTTCTTGCGGGTCGGATGTGATTCTTCGAATTTAATTTTCATTTAATATTCTAAAAACTAAATCTTTATGAAGTTATTATACTGTGATAAATATATGAAATTTCTACTAATATTCGGTTGAATTATATTTATCATTTCTAGATGAAAATACACAAGAATGTTGTGGTGATCCGAAAGAATGTTGTGGTAACAAGCATATGCTATTGAATTATATTTAATATGTAAGAATGTTGTGTACATGTATGTTTATATATGAAAGTAACGCTGCTAAAAGCAATCCTCCCATCAATTATCAAAGCCGTGTCACCGGACATTTGTTTAAGCAGGCTGAGGTTCTTTGTGAACATGCATGTTGGGTGGTGATGGGCGTTGAAGAGACTCAGAAAAGTCAAATGTGTCGTAATTTTTACTAATAACTCAAAAAATGCTAATGTTTATGTAATATCAAGATATTGTTAATTGTGATGAAAAGGATGAATTAATTTTAATATATTATTCACAATAATCAGATTTTAGCGAGACATAATCAAAGGATCCAGACGTAAAATTGTTAATTGAAAAATTTTTCAAGCAAGCGCACATTCTCCTCTTTTTTTGGGATAAAATTGGCAAACCTTCTTTCTTTTCTTTTGATATTTTTGAGTCAATGACACTTTTTTTTTCCATAAGTGTTAAATTTATACAAGCAGAAGTCTAGCAAAAAATGTTAATTCCTTATAATGTGATGAATTAAGGTTCAAATCTCTTCTAAAATTAGTGTTTGACATTTGATTGCTTCTAATAAGAAGATACTTGCGCTTAAAAAAGTGTTAAATTTATGAATTTTTATATGTATTTATTTGTTTTTGGTTTAGTTAGACAAAAATATAAAGGTTAACTATTATTTGAGTCTTTTTTTAGTTAAATAGATGAGAAGAGAAAATTACATTAAATAGATATTACCTCCAATTCTAATTATAAGACCTTATTTATATATTATAAATGAGGTTTTATAGGAAGTTTATTTAATTTTATTTTTTTCGCATAAAGGAAAGAAAAAATGACCACAAAATACCATATGAATTTTAAAAAGATAAAGAAGACATCCAAATAAACAAAATGACAAAGAAGGCATCAAGTATTAATATGGAATTTTGATTTTTAGCCTAAAGACCAAAATGCTCTTATTATTACAAAAACATGCTGTGAGATTTACAACTTTCATTGTGAGAGTTACTATTTTGTCAATGAGTTTTACAATCTATTTTGAGGAGTTGGACAACTTTTCTGTAAAAAACAATATAATTCCATGTCGAATTTTACAAAATACATGGTAGGATTTACAACTTTCATAGTGAGATTTATTACTTCGTCAATAGGTTTTACAATCTGTTTTGAGGGCTGGGTAACTTTTTGTAAAAAACAATACAATTCCACATTGAATTTTACAAAATATATAATGGGATTTATAATTTTCATAATAAGAGTTACTACTTTGTTAATGGGTTTTGCAACCTGTTTTGAGGGGTTGAGTAACTTTTTTGTAAAAAACATAATAAGAGTATTTCGGTTTTTAAGCTAAAAATCAAAATTTTATATTGGTGACTGATGTCTTCTTTATTATTTTACTTATTTAGATGTTTTTCTTTTATCTTTTTTAAATTTACATGATATTTTGTGGTAATTTTTTTCCCAAAGGAAAGGGAGCGAAATCCGTTTACACACGAGGACTGTGGGGCGGATAAAATTAGATAAGGCTTTTCCTCCCTCCTCACCTCCCTCTGAGAACAACTGGGGCTCTCATGCCCTCCACGCAGTGACCATTTTCTCCATTCCTGTTAAACCCTGGTGTTCATTTTGAACATGGCGTCCCAAATTCTCAATCAGGTTATCTATTTTCGTTCCTTTTGGTTCCATTCTGCGAACGTTTTGGTGCTTGCTTTCTATTCTGCTAATCATTTGGAGATTGCAGGCGCTGTTTGCTCTGCCGCAAAACCCCAATCAATGTTTTTCCCACAAGTTGGGTATTTCTCCTATGGTGTTATGCTGCCCCTCTGCGCTTGGTTCTCGTATTCTCCCTTTGTCTTCGAAAGTTGCTTCGAGCTCAATTTTTCGGACTTGCAGTTCTCTCGTTGCTCAACCAATTAAGTCTACGTTTGTTATGAGAGCTGAGTCGAATTCCGAAGCCGGAGGTGAAGCTAGCGATAATGTTGAAGAGACTGAGTCGACTGGTCCTGAAGAAGTTCAGGAAGCTGAAGCGGAGGAAGTGTCGGACTCTGATCCTAAATTAGATGAACCCAAGCCTCCCAGAAAACCACGAGTTAGGCTCGGAGACATTATGGGGGTAATCAACCAATTCCCTTTTGTAATTTTTTTTGTCTTTAGAGGAGTACATTACTTATCAGGAACTGGGGGAAATAGGTAAGGAGATCATGTAAATCTTAGTGTAACTTATGATTGATGGGTCCATCGCCATTTGTAGAGGCACATCGTTACTTAGTATGGTGAAAATGAGCCGGTAGTGTTTGAGCTACTCTCCAACCTTGAATTCTTTGCAGGCTTGGTGGATGAGGACTTTGACAAGTATAATTCTTCCTTGATAACGGGTTGCTTCAGGCAACTTGATTTTGAGCTTGTTCCCACGTACTTTACTGAATTATTTCAAAGCCCAGCAGAAAGCATTTGTGAGATAAAGTTAGCTGTGTTTTTAAATAATCATTCAATGCAAAAATCTTGTTCGCTGTGCTGTTGAAATGCATTATGTAATTTATTTGCATAACGAAAGATTTTAAGTATAATCTCTAACAAGATAACTTCCAATTTTAAATTTTTGGATGCCATTGTCGTTGATATGGCATTTGGTTGCGTGTGTCTGTGATTCGAGCAACTGAGGATATAGGAAACTGTAAAACAAAGTCTAGAGATTCGTTGCTTCTGTTCTTGCAGATATTGAATCAGAGAGCAATTGAGGCATCTGATAAGGAGAGGCCAACTCCGGACCTAAGGACTGGTGATGTTGTGGAAATTAAATTGGTAATTTATTTTTTATCTTTTAATTTTCAAGATTCCTGAGTTGAGAAGAAATTTATTGTGGTGTTCTTGTATCCTCCTTTCAGGAGGTTCCTGAAAACAGGCGTAGGTTGTCTGTTTATAAAGGTATTGTTATATCAAAACAAAATGCTGGTATTCACACAACAATTCGAATCCGAAGAATTATTGCCGGTGTGGGGGTTGAGATAGTCTTCCCAGTGTAAGTGCCCTTGCATTATTAGACTATTATCATCATTAGCATTGGTGGATAGATCTTTTTGCTTATTGTGAGAGAACACCGTGTATTAATTGTTGTTTTCATTAGGATCTATAGTCTTCATGCTGAAAGAGAAAATCCCTCTTAATCCCATTCAAAAAAAGGAAAAAGAAAATCCCTCTGAATGCATTAAAAGACTGGAGAATATTAAATTATAATAACTTACTTAACCGCATGTACTCCAGAACGTATATCACTTCAAAGTGATATGTACATTAAATCTGTCTACTACACTTGTTCTTTGGGTAATTTTGTGGGTTGTCAATATGCGGGCTGTCAGGAAATTGACTTAGAAGCACTAACTTGTACACCTGAAGTTGACCTTGTGAACTTTATGACAGTTTGGATTTGCTAATTGAATCGGAGCTGGGCATCTTGTTCTCTGTTATTTCTCAACTTTTGTATCTATGTATCCATCCAGATTTTTCTCTTTCTCTATCAGCATAGATATACATACATACTACACACGAAACCTAGAAAATCATAATCATGATAGCTGGCATTTCTTTTGAAAATGTTGCTTGCAATAGACGGCCTGGAAACACAGCCCAATATCTCTGGCCTCTAGGAAGAATGATGGGAGATGAGGTATGGTTGAACTTTTTTATCCCAAGGAGAAAAAGTTGGCCTTTTAACTGCTAGCTTCTTGTTCAGGCAGAAAAAAAAAACTGCTAGATTCTTGTTTATCATTAATTGATAAGATATGCTATGAGTTATTTAATTTGTATGCTTTGCCTGTGGCATTTTCGTTGGACTTGAGTATACTGAGCATTCCTCGTATGACTAATGAAAATTGAAAAGTTAGGTTCAGGCAGCTTTGTTAAACCCCCACTTTACAATCTTAGATAATTCATCCATACAATGTAGCCAAATCTTCCAATTTGAGGTCGCTATATAAAGCTCATGCATGAAGTAACTTTTCGTCTCGGTAGCATTTGTTCTGAAGCTCCTTCCAGATTGTTGTTGCGGTATTCTGTCTGATATCATTGTTTATGTTTCTTGTCGCAGGTACTCACCAAATATCAAAGAAATCAAAGTAGTGAGCCACCGAAAGGTCAGGAGAGCCAGGTTGTACTATCTGAGAGAGAAGCTTCCCAGACTGTCCACTTTCAAGTGATCTGGTGTGGCTGCCCCACTTCCCCTCTTGTTTCATCCTCAAAATGGCGTGCTGAATTGGGAGAAGTTGTGTATTTCAGGGGCCGTATTTCGATTACTTCCATTCGTTTGCTGTAAAGTAAATTATGCCATTTTTTCTTTGGTAGAAAGTCCGATCATATTTATGTTTCTTTTTTTCTTTTTTAAATGCACTCTTTCTATCATATTTCCTCTCCATCATTAATTTTCCGAGCAATCATGGCAAGTATGCTTCTCCTGAAATTCCATGTGTCTCTGCCATGCTGGATGCGTTATTCCTTTTGCAGATTGTTGGCACGCTATAAAATTTGCGTCAAACGAGGTACGATGTAATCATTTTTGTTCCCTTTTTAAAGGTTATAAACTTATAATACACATATTTGGCCAAACCCCATCATCACAAACTCAGTAGTGAATCTGATAAGTTGATGAAAATGCCTGCATCGTAATGCTACGTCGTCGACCCCATTCCTTTTTTTTCCCCCTCACCCCAGCCAAGTGATGAAATTTGTATAATAAAAAAAATAAGTCGGTTATGATTTAGAAATAATTTCATTATTTAATAATTAAAATTTAATTTAATGTACTGATATAGGAATGTTAGATATGATATAAAAGATTAATGAGATAAAATTAAAAAAAATATTTAAAGAATCAAATCAAAATTTTAAATGAATTTTATATTTATAATTAGGGCCGGGAGTATTAGGTTTTGTTTCTTTTGCAGCTTCTAATCTGAATCTGAATAGTAACAAGAGTAGTAATAGTAATAATAGAGCGACTCGGTGGATAAACATCATGCTTAGCGCGGCGTTAGGTTTCTGTGCGCAGTTTCCATCTTTGGAAGATTTTGAAGGTTCAATCTCAAGTTCCATTACTTCTTCCCGGGAACGAAACAGGACAGGAAGCATCAGAGGGCATAAAGAAATCAAATATATACAGTGGGCATGCATAAATGAGTAAGAACAATCAGTATCAGTGTGCATGTACAATTATATGTACGTAGCAGGACAGTAAAATTTTGAACAGCGAACAAGTTCTTGCATAAATTAATTTAGAATAAGTTCTTAGCTTATGAATAAATTAAACAATTAGACGAAGAAAGATAGGTAGTTGAAGAAACAGACGTGGCATCTAATGTTAAGTATATTGTTTAGTATCAGGTAGAAGAATAAGTAAGGCATCGAGTTGCTGAAGCGGACGAGCCGAGAGGATCACTGGGACAGGGAGAGGGTGACGATTCTGCCCTTCTCTCCCATGAATCATTGACGGTTAGTTTTGCCGCACACATCGGATGGTGGGCTGACGCAAACGCGCCGCATCCTGACTCGTGCCCTGCTAATACCAAAGAACCCGCTCATAATTGGAGCCACCTGCGAGCCATCGGTGCTCCATGCTCCTCGTTCCACCCCATCTCGCAACCGTTGTTCATTTATCTCTTCTCTTCATATTCTCTCCCGCTTATTTCGGAACCGAAGTTTGTCACCGTCCTCCTTCTTCTCCCTTGTGGAATTGTTTTGCATGTCGCCCTCTGATGCTTCGCTGTGTTGCTGCCTTTAATTGATTGGATATTTTGAAAGCTCCGATTTTGTGTATAGGCTTCGTCATGAGTGCTGCTGCTGGAAATTCACTCATTTCTGTTACTCCTGATGAGCTCAGATTTCAGGGTATGTATTGTGCCGTACCCTTCGCATTCCTCTCCCGACCCCCTCCTCTTTCCAGTCCATTGTTTTCTTTCTTATTTTCGTATGTTATATTGATCGCTTCCCGATGGATATTTCTGCATCTATCACGTTTCCCTGCGGGGAGATTCATGCGGCAAATTGCAAACAAACTTTTCTTCGTGTCTGCGCGTCATACTTCTTTGTTCATGGATGGTGATGACAATAAGATGTTTATTTTCTGGGTCATAGTGATGATAATGAGAAATTAAGTGACCGGGAGTTAAAAAATCAACTAGAATTTTTGCGTTATAACATATATGTACCCAAGAAACCTTTGGGTGAAAGAATATAACTTGTGGAGCTTATATATTTTTCTCCAATGCAATGTTACCAACGTTGTTAAATCACTCAAAAATTACATGCAATTGGTTTCCTTCGCTTCCTGGGAACCAAAACAAGGACTTTGAAGTGAATGAAGTAAGGACGCATGGTTTTCGAATGACAGACCGGCTGGGGTTGTAAATCTCTGTCTCTCCCCTGCGATTATTAACAGCTTGAAAATCCGTTGGATGTTATTGCGGTTGGAAATTCAAGCAGAAAATGTCTCATTGATATTTCTGTTTTCAAGATTGCATGTTAGTTCTCTCTTTTGGATCAAAAGAATTGAGGTTGTGGAAAGCAGAATATTTTAATTTGACAAAGATGTCTTGAACCATGATGGAATGCATAGAAGGTTTTGCATGCAAAATGTTATTATGGGTGTCCTAAAATCCGAATCTTCTTCCTTTGTCATTTTCTTGATATAAATGTCTGAGTTATTCAGTTATTCCTGTGGAATTCATGTAATCAGTTGAGCTGGGGAAGCAAGCATTTTGTGATATTAAAGTTTCAAACAGCACGGAACACCACGTTGCTTTTAAGGTACTCCTTAACTCAATAAGTATGAACAAACTTCTCTCTGCTTGATACGCTGCTCTTTAGCTGATTCTTAGGGTATTCTGATCACTTTCTAGGTCAAAACCACTTCACCTAAGAAGTACTTTGTACGACCAAACACTGGTATTGTACGACCGCAGGACTCATGTATCATCAGAGGTGAATCCAGATATACATCTGAACAAAGTGCTATTTGGTTATCTAGTAGACATGCCTTTAGACATAAACTGTTCCATACAAGACATGGGAAGTGAACGTTTATCTTCCACATCGCTGAGAGAAATCTGTAAATAGAAGCATATTTTGGAGAATGCAATACTCTATTTGTAGTTTTGGTGGTTCCGAGCGACCTGTTTTATGGTTAAATACTTGTGGGCTTCAAAGATCAAACCTTTGATATTTTCCCCTCCTGAGTTGGCCTTTAGCGTACCGTTTTCTTATAATTTTCTCTTTTTTGTTTCAATTTGGCTTAAAACATATCATGTGTACAATTTTGCTTATGAATTCATAACATGCTGCGGCGTTAGCATCTATTGTTTTATTTTGGATTTTGCAGTCACTCTTCAAGCCCAAAATGAATATCCTACTGACGAGCAACGGAAAGACAAGTTTCTCTTACAGAGTACAGTAGTGAATCCTAATGCCAAGGTTGATGAACTTTCATCAGATACCGTAAGAAAGTCAACACTGTCTTTGTCTTAAAAGATTAGTTTTCTAAAGGAGAACTCTATCAACAACGCTTTAGTTTGGCATGCAGTTCAATAAGGATGCTGGAAAATCAACAATAGAGGAATGCAAACTAAGAGTTGTATTTCTCTGCCCCAACTCAGCTCAAGGAAATTCAGAAGATGAAGCATTGAAGAGGTCCATACAAGATCTTGATCCCGATTCTGTGAGTATTATCTTTGTTCTTCACTCCTTTGGGGTACCTTCTTTGCCGTTCCTTTTTTATGCTTCATTTATTTGGCCATTCCATGCATTTACCCAGATGTTGCATCTTGATCTCGTGTTGAGTTCAAACTGGATTGCACTTGGGCTTGTCGCCCTTTAGAAAAGAAAAACACACTCAAATTCCAATGACTCAAGCCAGAGAAATGAGAATATGCCGATTTCCATTGATGGCTTGACCGCCAAAGAGCAGAAAAGAATTAGATCAGTTTGCACATCACATTCAATTTTCGGGTTATGTGAGGACTTTTTTCCATCATATGAATGCATAGACCACTTATGCAGATGGTGCATTATAGGATTTGACTACACATATTGAATTGGAAGGAATAAGAAAAGGCAAAGAGTGGGGGGAATAAAATATACGAGAAGCTTCCCACCGCAAAATTTTATTACAGCAAAACTACTTCTGCCTCTATCATATTTCTACTCATATCAGAGTAGAACTAGAATCGGGCTATCAATGATTCATCTATCTCTTGTTCACTTTCGATTTTTCCCCAGTTGTTAATCGCTATGAATCATCTAGGAAATTATGCAATTTAAGTTTGTAATCACTCGTCATAAAAGAGTGGGAATTATTGTGAGCTCTTGCCTGCATTATGATACACAATACCCCTTTGTCCAAATTCTCGGGTAACTTATCATTGTTGTTTTATGTCAGCCAATTATTTTGTTAAACTATTTCTTACAATTTTTTTGGTTTTTTCCGAATGAAGAGTCAGGCTTTACAGCGCCTGAAAGAAGAAAGAGATGCTGCTAATAGACAAACAATGCAACTGCGACAGGAATTGGTAATTATGCAATGTTTTATCTCATAATACTCCTTTATGATCACGTTTTCGATCTGTTATTATAACAACAGCAGGAGCACCCAGGTCTCATTTGATCCTTGTGGAGAGTTTAATCATTTCTCGTCATAAAAATTATGTCCTCATTTCCTGTATCCTGATTTAATGAAAGCGTGTTGACATTTACGGAGATATAAAGCCGGAATAGGAAAGTCTGCTGGGAAACAGTCAAGTTTATGATTTATACTTTAAGGAGAAGCTGATTGAATGAGAAATGTTCAGTTCTAGTTGGAATGTTGGATATCTTTTCTGTTCTAGAATTTATTGTGATTCATGTTTAGTTTACGGATTACATCTGTAGTTTGACACCCAAGATGCGTATTACAATGGATGATTGTCTGGTGCCAATTTAACTAATGCATCAGTTTTGCTGATGTGCAGGACATGATGAAAAGGCGAAAAATTCGCGGAAGTGATCAGGGCTTTTCCTTCCGCTTTGCCATTTTTGTGGGTCTTATTGGAACTTTGCTTGGCTTGCTTTTGAAACTTTCCTTGTCTTAACCTCTGCGGACTGATTTTGTTGGGACCTTTGCCTGCACAACTTGCCCTCTTTCACTGTAGAGTTCCATGTTTCGTTGAATGAGATATTTTTACTAGCATGCTCTCTCTGTGGTTATATTAATGTGCTGCTATGGCACATTGCAACACGAACAGAAGTGGACGCATGAGGTGAATCAGCTGTAAAGAAAGAGATAAACAGAATCATGCTGCTGTACCGGAGAATCAAAGTTCCCCACCTTCAATATAATTTTCTATTTCAATTTAACACAATTTTTTAAGACTTCCCGTGTTTCTACCTTTAATTCATGGAATTTGTTAGAAAAATGGACACCATATTGAAAAGGTGGAAGTTTAGGAGTTCTTGGCCTAGCCTCCAAGGACGTGACGCCTACAAGGGTTTTTCCCCTCGGTTTTAATCTTGAGACACTAAGAGGAGGCAGAAAAAGTCTCAAATCTCACTCTAATATCAAAAGAAGAGATTTGGAGAGATAGAAAAAGCATGAGGTGGGTTTACTCTGCTTTAATATTGCCTGTCGTTTTTGTGATTGGAATTCCACTCCTTTGTCTTGAAAGTATCTTATCTCTAATTACACCAAAGTTCTTGGCATGGGGTTAGGTTATTGACTTTTTCTGAAGTTTGCCGATCCATTTAAAATGAAAGACCAGTTACCAGATCTGTCCAGTTTGAGATGGTTCGCTTTTTAAAACCATTTTTTGCCCATGCTTTTTAAAGCATCTTTCGGTAAATGAGATCAACTATAAAAATGCCAATAGAGTGAATTTTATTTATGAATAAACTATCACAATTTTATTAAAATAAAAGTATCAGTTCTTTTGAAATCATCAATGTAAATTATGTATTATCTAGCAAATGTCTCAAAAAAAAAAAGCGCGAGAGAATCACAAACTTAAAAAATTGGCGAAATTAGTTTTTTTAAAAAAACTTATACCGAGAGGAAATGGTGTGCTACACCGAATAAACAAGTTACAACATTTATTTTCTGGTAATTTAACTTTCGGCGACTTTAGTTATTTGTTCTCGTTCAAAAGAAACACAGAAAGGATGCTATATAAATGCTTATGTTATATTAATTTTGGTGTTATATAAATGCTATATAAATGGTGTTCTCGTTAAAAATAGGAAATTTATGTTATATTAGTCCTAATATAAATGCTTATGGCTCCATTTTTAAGGGACATGCTTTTCATCACTTGCAAATTTAGATCCCCGGCTAAATCTTTATATGATTCCATAATTCCCACAAATTTAGATTATATCTGATGACCCACAAAAAAGGGTAACATCAAATTATTATTTTACAATTACACGAATTCCGTTATTATTTACATAAACAAAAATAAAAAAAATCATCCTTCTTTATTATTATTCAGGATGCTTTTTATAAATTTCAAATAATCAAATTATGAATATTAATAAATTAGTTAAACATAATAAATATGTAAAAAAATAATTTTTCAAAAACATTTCTACTTATGGGGAGCAAGAGTGGAAGAGCAAGAAATCACGGAATGAGGTTGGTCAATTAATATGGGTTTAAAAATAAAAAATAATATCAAAAAGTTCAGACAAACTATTAGTTTTTCTAGTAAATATGACTAATAAATCCTCATGAAAAATCTCTTATACATAGGATCCGATAGGTTCTAAAAAAAAAAATCATGTAATTAAAGCACCAAACATGTCTTGGCATATTAATTTTGGGCAGGAAAGGCCATTCCCATTATGACCAAGGGTGTGTTTGGATAGAAACCAAACTATGGTTTCAGAAATACTTTTACGGATTACGAAATAAATATATGGAGGAGATTATCTCGTTTTGCGGAAAAATGCTTCTGAAACCACAGTTTTGGGATACCCAAACAGGCCCCAAATCAAAGTCGATCGCATTAAGTTAAGGGGAGTGGTTCCATTTCCTTTTGTCCTTTGCAATTAACAGATATTATTTTCAGACATCAAAATGGCTTTACCTTATTGGATACATATCACATAGTTCATAGCTTCACCCAAACCTAATACCCTTTCTTTTTAATTTGGTGAAGTGACCTGATTTATTGTAGTTTTGTATGATAGAGTGCAAATCCACCTATGATACAGTGCAGAGCCACTATGATTCTTTTATTTTATGCTTAAAATGTATTTATCACTCGTACAATCATTGCAAATAAATAAGATATAAAATAGAAACAACAATAAAAAGTAGCAATTTCTTGCAACCCAACAAAAATTACATGTTAACCTTGTGTTTGACGGTATTAGTTAAGAATGATCCTTTTAATTTTATATATATATTTTTTCACTCAGTTAAGTGTAAATAGAGCGTGTCATTGTTCATCGTCATTTCTATTGATGATATTGTATTTTATTTTCACATCATTTTTGTGCTTAATTAATTGGGGAAAAAAATTATTGGAGTGAGACGCAAATTGTAATACAGTAGCATATTTTTATTATATATATATATATATATATATATTTTGTGGCCATGTGATCGCATAGCAAGGAAATTAGGAAAAGCAACGTCAGCTGGCAGGTTGAAGAATTGTATACCATAAATATTCTAATGTGCTAACTTATCTCTACGACGTTAATTTGGGAGCATCTGTTGACTTTTCATCTCTTCAATATTATAAATATATAGCTTACCTCTCTCTTAACCCAAACAATTCACTTTTGGATGCGTTGTTCGTTAAAAAATAATAGTAATTTTGAGACGTTCGATTCACCTAAACACAACAAAATAACCCCCAAAAAAATGGTGCTCTAAACAAAACCGAAGCATGTACAATTAAAAAAAAGAGAAAAGAAAAGCAAAATTACTTTAATAAAAAAACAATAAGTATTAATCGAAGTGATAAGTGACCTTATCCCATTTAAAAAAAATTTAAATTTCGAAAAATATACTTTTCATTAGATGAAATGATCCGTCAAATGATACATTTTCTTTTCTTAAATTTGGACTAGTCAGTTGTTCGTGCACTTAACCTTTATTAAAAGATTTGGTTTAAAAAAGACACCGGATATTGAGTAGAGAGAGAGAGAATATCCATTAATATTTACAAATAATCTCTAACACTTATTTCATTCTTGGAGTGTGGACTACTCAGTGTGAATATTGATTAAAATTAAAAAAATGTAATATTAAATTAAAATAATTATGTTGAGGGTGCTCGCATGAAAAGGAGATGGTTAAGCAAAGTATATTAAAAGCAGAAACAAATGAAAAAAAAAGGAAGAAAGTCACAGCCAACCACTCACAAAATCTGCATATCTCATAGACTTTTGAACCCTACTACTTCACTTTATTTTTTCCTTCGCAAATTGCAATTAAATTAAATTGATGGATGAGAAGGCAAGGAACTCTTTTCATTTTTCAACACCCCGCCCCGCCCCGCTTTTCTAATCTTCTTGTGCACTGTGATTAGCGTTTCATTTCACTGTTAATCGTTTATGACTCCTATATATGTGTGTGTGTCCAACAAAATAATTAAATTTCAAACTTGAGCTAGCAAGAATTTCAAAACCAAACAATCCAAACATCCAATCACTACAAACTTTCACTTTCCCGGGCATAAATTGATAATGACATGTCTATTTTCTGTGAGCACTAGTTGATTTCCATTATTAGCTTTACCAAGTGTTTGAATTAACTTATTTTAAATAACTCTACATTATAGTGAATGAGTTTTGAATCATAAAATATATATATATATATATATATTAAGTGATTGCGGGTTTGCCAGAGAAATACGTTTTTTTTTTTGGGTAATTTGCCAAATATATACTTCCTTCGTCTCTTATTATGATATCCAATTTTTTGAATGGGTTTGTTTCTTTTTATAAAATTTTCTTTAATTTTATCTGAGTATTTAATATAGTATTTTGCCCTTAATTGAATATATTTAATGCATTCTTTTTTTCATTTATCTTACTATTACTCTCTCACCTTTATACATTTATTTATAGGGATATATTTGAAAAAAAATATTTTTTAAACTGTATAATTTAATTAAAATAATCTTATAATAAGAATGGAGTAGTACGTTTTGGTTGGGAAAGTGTTATAGTATGAGGGTTGGATTTGTAGTCAGAATCAGTGTGGTGAACGGGATGATGCTGCGTGGCAGGAGAAGCCTTGTAATTGGGCCGATTTGGGCTGCACCCAAGCCCTCGCAGCCAATCAATTCCCACCACGTGTCACACTCCTGTTGGATCAGTCCTTGTTCATGAACCTGTTTGTTTGGACTTCTGACCTACGAGCCACGTGCTTCGTGATCAGTGAGTCACGAGCCCACTCCCACTGCTTATCGTAAAATTAATAAGTAATTGATAATTGATTTCCAGAAAACAAATTTATTTAGTAATCCGCCTTATTTCATTTTATTCTGTTGTGTATATATATATATATATATATACCCTTTACTTATTAAAATCTGTTCTTCCTTATCCGTGAAAACAATAAGATATTTAATGTGTTGGGAAGGACAGAGTTTAATGAGCAAAGGATCCTGTGACCCGTGATTTAATGTGTTGTTATATAATTAAGAAACATAATTTCACTAATCACGTGCGCTCTAAACATGTCTGAAACACTGCAATATCATCCTCCAAGCATTGTCTCCGTCTAATTAATATTATTCCCATCCCAAACATGACATATGCTTCTCATACACTACAATTACACTCCCCAAAAATTGTTACTTTTTAAAAATTAATTCATTTAACTTATAAACTAGTGTAATACGCATAAATATTTTAAAGAAATCATGTAATATTTATTATCATTAATTAATTAATTAATTTTTAATCTAATCAGGTTAATTTATTAATTTTTACATTAAGGTTCGAATGGAGTAACAAAATGATTGAGAGTGAGGCCAAAATCAAGAGAACTAAATGCAGATATATAAATAAAGCGCGTGAAGCAAGGATTTAAATGTCTTAGATGTGATTAGAGTCAATGCAAATACTATTTTCGATCCTAATTATAAGAACTAATTGACTAATTTGAGGAGATTAAGAAAATAAGTTAAGTTAATTATGTTTGACAAATAGGTGTTGTCTTTACTAAAATATCCTTACTAATCAAGTATATTAACCAGAATTACTATTGTTAGAAGGACTATCTTGGAAAAAAATATATAAATATGAGAGACAAAGTGGATCGAGCTCTTATATTTAGGATCAAAATAAAAATCAAATAAGATCTTATATTAAGAATTAGAGGTAGTACACTAGTACTAGTACATAAGAATAATGATTTTGTGGTTCCAAAAAAAAAAAGAATAATGATTTGGCTGTTTCTTTCCTTCTAATGTTCCCACTTCTCAACTTCGGAGCAGTAACGCGATTTGAAGCTTTAACCAATGCTTCTTAACCACAAAGCATTCGATTGTGCCAAAGAAATCTCAACCAAAACCCTCAGATTCCTTCTTAATTTTTAATTAATCCTTATCGTTAATTACATCCTAATCCCTCTCACCGCCAGAAACAAAAGACCAATCTCACCCATTCACGCTCACGCATGCCCCTCCCTAATTCAACACTTGTCCAGTTTTTTAAAAGCGTCACATTATTGCGGTATCTTTATCCATTACATAATACATGAATGTCATGTTTTATTAATTTCTGAATAGCATAACTTTTTATAGATATATGAAAATAATTGATCTGTAAATTTTCAGTTTTATTTGTTTTTTAATCAGCTTTTTATAGTTTTCATCTTCTTTTCTATTAACTTCTTATAATTTCACTCATCTTTAATCAAATTTTTTTTTATCAAATCCTTTTGATTTAGATTTATTTTTTATCTATAATTTTTTTCCTTTTTACCCATCATATGAAACTACAGAAACCTAGCTAAAAATTAAGTGAACTTATAAATACCTGATAAAAAGAAAAAAGACTACAAAAACCTAATTAAAAATAGCTGTAACTATAAAGATATAATTAAAAAACTATAGGGAACTAATAAAAAACAAGGGGAAGTTACAGGAATTTACAGATAATTTTTTTATAAATATATTGAATTATATAATTAGCCTCATTCTATTTTATTGCTTCTTTAATCACTTTATTGTATGGATAGAACTGGAATGTTAGCTATAGCTAAAATGATTTATCAATTTCTTTACAAAAAAATGATTTTATGAATTTTAATTTGTTGATTAAAAAATAATAGTAATCATGTGACATGTAACAAAAACAAAATATAATTTTTGACCAAAAAACAAAAACAAAATATAATTATCCCGATATATGCGGCCTCCCTTTTGAAATTCCCCTGAATAAAACGACACAACTTGCTACGTCTCAGCACATGATTCCTATCTATCTGCACTTCGGTCCACTGGATGTACACGTGGCATACAATATTAATATTATGTCCCCCCCTTAATTTAACCTCTTGATCTTTACTGACATCCTTTTTTTAAAATAAAAATTAGATTTAATTTTAAATAACATTTGTTTATATTTTATATAATTAAGAATTTAGAAGAAATATATGTACCAGTTCTACAAATTTTTGTGTCATGTTTATGCCCTCTCTGAATGACAAAATTTTATTATACTGTTTTTACTAAAAATTCTAGGAAGAATAAAAAAAATACCATTAGATTTTATAAATCTAAATCAGTCTTATTTATTACACTTTAATAACAACTGACAATATTTAAAAAGTAAATGAAAACACATTTTTATAGTCATTTCTAATTTGAGATTTTAAAATTTTAGAGGTGCTTTTTACCAGGATTCTCCCAAAATTCTAGTTCCAAGTAATTTAATTTTTTTCCTAAAATCTGTTTGGTTTGATGGAACAAGGGGGAGAACAAAAAATAGAGGAAAAATTATAATAAATTTAATTAAATTTTTTTAAAAATGTGGTTGATAGTTTTTAATTAATTTTTCACTTTTTTATCTCATATCTTCTTCTTATTATAATTTGATATCTTCACATTTTCAGATTTTTAAATCAAATTTATTAAAGTTTTTTTCCCGGCAACTAATAAATATCTCACGTAAATAATAAATAATTGGAATGATGCATAAAGATCTTACCGTGAGATCATTGCTTTTACAAAAGGCAGAGACAAGACAATGAATGAGGGAGATCTAGAACAAGCAGCTATGAGTTCTAAGGGGGCCCACCTTTAAACCCGACTGTGCGCTTCTTAATTTCCCATTTTTTATATTATTGTTTTTTTTTTTTTTTTTGAGTTACATAGGAGCGGGATCAAACCCGCGTCACTCACACACCCACGCACACACCCACACCACTGGGCCAACAGGCCGGTGGTTTTATATTATTGTTATTACCTTTTTCTTTGACACAATAAGCACTCCAGCTCGAAACATTAATTCATTTTTGACAATGACTCAACACGGAGCCTGATTATGTCTTAATCCTTAAGGCTAACACCCTAATTTTTATTTTATTTAAAAATACATAATCATTAATTATGTATCAATATAACATGTTGATTATATTTGAGGAAAAAAGGCATCCAGCTCAAGATTTGTATTTTTCTTTTTTCCTCTCTGAAAAAAAAAAAGACGTGATAAGAGTTATTTAATTAACGGACCACGATGCCCAGGAAAAACAACAAGCGTGGCATGGCTGTGAAAAAGAAGCTAATTTTCTCTGCATTATAATTTTGAAATAACCAGGCGCCGTTAAAATTGTGAAGAATGTTATAATGTATCAACATTAATATATTAAATATTAATTAAAAAAAAAAGGAATAGAACGTGGGGGATGAAATGACGGTTTGAAGAGGAAATCAAGAGAAAGTTGGGTTGGCAATTGGGTGTGGGGGAAAGGAATGGCGTTGATGCGAGATCTGATTAGTGGGTTTTTTATTTTTTATTTTTAAATAAATGGGTTCCTAATCCTAAAAGTCACAGTACACCTCAAGGAATGCAATTTAATAATATTTCCAAAACAACAAAAAAAAATGGCGGAAAATTCCTGTTTAAAAATTTTATTAGCTGTAGATGTTTTACATTTGCTTTTATAAATTTCAGGTCTTCTTACTAATAAGATTTTAAAATAAGGGTTTTTCATAATTTTTTTTTTCCAATAAAATGAGCAAAATGATATTAATAATTTGGGACATGTCCCTTGGAACAACTTATGGGAAGGATTGGAACAACTTATGGGAAGGATGATGGAGGAGGAGGTCGGCCTCTTTGAGGGGGTCACAAATCACCATCTTTTGATGAAAGCAGGTGGAGACCAATCCAACGGCTCAAAACTCACGACCCAATCCTACGTTGCCGACCTCATGTTGCGTTATTGCGTATCCTTCCACAACGTTAACAAAACATTACATGATCATGATTGTGGGTTGGGTTGGACCGATTTCCCTCTTTCTTTACACAAAGCACCTTACCACTCTTCTCTCCTCATCACCCACTTACCTTCCCTCCCATTCTCCAATCCTAATCTCTCCTTCTTTTTGTGTTTTCAACAGAAAAGAAAAAAACAAAACAAAGGTAAAGAGAAAATTAAAGAGCAAACCAAAACCACTAGGCACCAAATTAGTCAAATTCATCAGATACCCACTATCACTATATATCATGACCACACTGTGTTATCTCCTTTGTTTTCTCACTCCTTACTCTTATCACCCGTTTCTTATTTTATCTTATTCTTCATCTGCAGAATAAATACTTTACCATACACCATAATCATAAATACCAGTAAGCTTCTGTTCTGATGAGATATTAAAAAGAAACTGGGCAGGCGTGTCATGGGATTGCTTTGAGTGATTGCCTGCGAGATTCATGTGGCTGAGTCACAACCTCCTTTGGTCTCACCATTGAAAATTGAATTAAGGCGAGAGTTAAAATTGATGCCTAAAGCTTGTCCGTATTGGTGGGTCCCTTATCATCAACCTTCCTGACCTAATCCAACGGTGATTGCTGAGTCTGTGACGCCATGGCAGCCCTAAAGTATTTATTATTCATATCAGCACTGGTAGATGGGAATATAATATTGTGGAATTTGGTATCCCTATCAAATAAGAAAATGAGAGAAATCACAACATATGGGAAAGTCCAAACGACTCGCATTGTTTCTTTCTCCCCCTTTTCTCTTTGTTGTGCTTGAAATGTGGGCTTCCGTTTTCCTTCCTCCATTGAAGTTTTCACTATTAATGACCTGTTGTTTTTATAAATTATTTAAAAGGAAGAAAATGGTTTTGGACCAAAAATGGATGGTGAAGATGAATGCTTTTGGATTTTATTTGATGAGGATTTGTGAGCCCGGCAGAAAAGTCCATTGTCAACACGATATGTGCAATAATATTCCCCTGCCCCTCATTCACCTCATTGGGTAAACACAAATGAAAGTTCTTAATTTTCTTTCTTTTTGGTTTTTCTTTTGGGAGGAAGAGTTTGAAAATTTTAATCTTGAGGGAAAGTAAAATTGAAATCTTTCGGATTAACACCTACTAATTACAACAGAGAGAGAGAGAAGGATGGGAAAAAACAAAGGAAAAGGAAAAGCTGAACATTTACTTCACATACAATACAACAAAGAGGTCACATACACAGACCTTCTCTCCCTCTCTCTCCATTCCATTCCACCTTCCTTTCCTCTTTTCACAGCCATTTATGAGATTCCTCCAATGGCCTTTTCTCTTCCATTGGATTGTATAGATTCCGAGTTAAAATACGCTCATCAATATCTTCAATTCCAGTTGATTTGTGGCTATCTATGTGAATTCTTTTAAAGACCATAGAACAAAACTCTTCTGGGTCTCTAGGCTTCTGCTCTCTTTTGCAAACTATCATTCTGGGTTTGCTGCAGAAAAAGCCTTCAATACCCAATACTATTCGCCGCAAAAGTCTTGAAGAGAAAAACTGTAGATATTTTCAGAAAATTTTCGGTTTCCTTTTTTTTTTTCCCAATAAATTATTTGCCCCTTTCTGTAAATTTTCTTCCTATTTCTTTTTCTTCACTTGAGGAAAACATTGAGACATGGGAAAGCAAGGTCCTTGCTATCACTGTGGAGTTACAAGTGAGTTCTTGTTTCTCCAATATGCATATTTTCTTTTTTCTAATTTTCCCTTTGAGCTTTGACCTTAATTGTTTTCCCTCTATTCAAACGCGGACTATTCTGCAAATATTTCCTCACTCAGTAATTTTGCTAAAAGGGAGTTTTGTCTGAAAAGGAATTTTATGCTGGCCAATATAATTGAATAAAAAAAAAGGCGTGCTTTTCGTTGTATTCTGGATGTAATCTTTCAGTGATTCAAGTCTTCTTGTTGCTTAGAATTCTTGGAGCTGGAATTTCTGGGGATTATTATTCATTTCCTCCTTGTATGGCTTTCCGCAATCTGAACTTGCCTTTTTTTCCGGTTTTAATTTTTCCTGAACTCTGTTTGAAGTATGAACAAACGTAACTAATGCAAATTTGAGCTCAGATTCTGTCAAATGCCAGATGGGACATACTATTTGATAGACAAAACATTGCTTTTAAGGTGTTCACCAAAACTAGTCAAGCCATTGTTCTGTTGTTCCCATCTGGATTATGTGAAATTGAAAGGAGAGATTAAAAAAAGACAGGAAGACATCTTTGAATATGCTCATTGTTAAATCCTAATCTGTATTCTGAAAGGAATTCACATTCAGAAATTTCTTGTTGCTTCCTGTACGAGCGCTTTCTCATTGTATCAGAGGGTCTCTTTCCAAGCATTGTGTATATATCCTTGATACTTGTCAAAGTTCTCTTCTTGATTGATTGAAGAGAAAACCTTCATATGCCGCTTCATTATTATATCATCAAAACTCTCAACCCAAAACTGTTGTTTTTGCTCACAATAAAATAATCATGGGACTTAGCCTTCTAGACGTTCATTCTTTTTCCTGTTATGAATATTTGTCTTCCAGAAATCTGAAACATTTTCAACTGCTGAAGTAATTGCTAACGAGTATTGCCTAAAAATGTAGCAACATTGTAATCACATCGAGTATGGTTCTGTAACCCCCTGAAAGGCAGAGTGATCATTTCATTTAGATTCCCTTAGTTTCCATGCCTCAAGGGAGGCTTACTTGTTATTCATTATTTGATTTCAGTTAAATTGCAAGCATTGTGTCAGCTTGTGGTTTACGGACTGTTTGCCTTGTTTTCCTCACAAAACGGATGCTGCCTTTGATTATTTTAATTATTTGAGCCCATCATTCAATAGCAATAACATATTGGGCACTTCAACTAGGCATTGCGAGTTCCTTGTCTAATGAACGCTTAAAGATGATGCTAGCTAACTCAACCTTAAAATGTTTGTTGAGTTCAGCTTTCTAGTATGTCAAAGATGATTAGTCCTTGTTTGTTGGGAGTGACATCATTTCCCTGGATAGTCCTTGCTGGTTTTAGGAACTTACATAATCTATAATCTATCTTTCTATTCTTCTGACAATGTCTTCATAAAGTGGATTATCCTACTGTCACCACCTCGTCGTCAGCTTAGTTAAGGGGGTTGCTGAAGGAACTTTGATTCTGGACAAACAATTGATCCTGAAAAGCTTTTTTTTTTTGGGGGGGGGGGGATTGGATACCATGTTTTGAGAGTCATATAAGGATCAACATTGTCAAGCTCTAACTAATAAGTAGCTTGTTGCTGTTATTGCTGCTGTATTAAAGCTTTGACCATTAAGAGATCAAGTTTTAATTGAAGAAGCTTCCACTTAACAGTTATTTTTCATGACGCTGGCCAGTAACTCTCGACTGTTTTACTCTGAACGGTTTAAGCTTTGGCTTGCCTATGAGAAAAATCCCTTTATTTTATTCTACGCATCATAAACGAGATCATCAAGTATAAATGAATTTATTGCTCCTTGTAAATTACCTAATCAATCCAAGCTGCACGTCTTGTACTGTTTGTAGAGTTGTGTATATTTCTGACAATTGAGAATTATAACAGGCACACCACTTTGGCGCAATGGCCCGCCAGAGAAACCAGTATTGTGCAATGCGTGTGGTTCTCGATGGAGGACAAAGGGAACACTTGCAAATTATACTCCATTACATGCTCGGACAGAAACTGATGACTGTGAGGATCAAAGGTTTTCAAGAGTAAAGAGCATATCACTAAATAAGAACAAAGAAGTGAAATTGTCTAAACGAAAGCAGAATGAAGACAATTTATTAACTGGAGTGGCTGGTCTTGATTACAACCAAGGATTCCGAAAGGCGACAGATGAAGATACAAGCAATAGATCAAGTTCAGGATCAGCCATCTCTAACTCAGAGAGTTGTGCTCAATTTGGTAGCACTGATGCTAGTGATTTGACAGGTTGGATGTTTATCATGCAATAATTTTATTGGAAGATGATTTCTTCACCATTGATTGTAGCAGCACTAGGCATTCGATTGAAGAGGGTAATAAATAATAAAAATTCCCGGTCCAGATATATTATGAGCATCATCGAGAAGTGTGGATAATGACAACAAAAGAGGGGAGGAGGAAAAATGGAAAAATTGCAGATTTTCTGTACTTAAAATGCCATGGTGAAGATGTAAGATGATGAGCGAAATTTGCTTCTAAATTATTGAGTGTTTTTTCTGTTGATGATAAGGTTCCAAGAGGTGATTCAGTATATTTCTAGCATTAAGCTCTAATTATCTCAAGACAGTTCAAATTGACTTTGATATGGATTTTATATTATCTGTAGATTGTAGAGGAAGAATTATTTGACACTAGTGTGATACTTGATGCACTTGCTCTTTTCAATATATTGTTATAGGGTGTAATTTCTGTCGTAGGAAGAATTCATAATATTGAGCTTTTTGACTGAATTTTATAAAATTTAGACAATGACAAATATGTAATCAGGTGTGTTTAAATAGCATAATTCACGATAGTTATAAGATATTGATGGCGTGGAAAACAATGTATCAATGTAAATTTGTGAGCATGATGTTCATGATTTAAGCTTTTTTTCCAACACTGGGTTTATGAGAGACTCATCCTGCACAAATTTAAAAACTCGAATGGTATAAGATTAATCTAGATTTTCATTAGCGTCAGTGGCTTCCGTATCATATCCTTCTTCTTTGAATAAAAGCATGTAATTCTGATATGCATAGTATATATGGTGTTATTTTAGGTCCTGCTCAGTCAGTTGTTTGGGATGCTATGGTGCCTTCAAAGAAGAGGACATGTGTTGGTCGTCCAAAGCAATCTTCTGTTGAGAAGCTTACAAAAGATCTGTACACTATTCTTCATGAACAACAGTCTTATTTTTCTGCATCCTCTGAGGAGGATCTTCTTTTTGAAAGTGAAACACCAATGGTCTCTGTTGAGATAGGGCATGGAAGCGTTCTTATTAGGCACCCAAGCTCTATAGCTCGTGAAGAGGAGTCTGAGGCCAGCTCTCTTTCAGTTGATCACAAACAGTGCCCAACCAGTGAGGGATTTTCATGTTCTGGTACCGTTCATGTGCATAATGGTTATAGTGGTGTGAATTTTCCATCTCTGGGGGTTCAGAAGATCAGGAGCTCTGCTGGCCAAGGAATGCTGCAAGAGCAACTTAAGAGGCAAGTTCTTTGGGGACTCTAGTTTATATCCGTGCATAATTTGCAGTCAGCTATGCATGAGTATAATTATTTATCTTGATAGAAAATTTAGTTTAATCTGTTACTCCCCTTAACAGTCGATTCATTTTGTTAAAAATCCCCCCCCCCAAATTGTACAGTGCTATGGTAATCTATTTTAGGGACTAAGAATATTAAGCGTTTTATCTTATTATTCATTTATTATGGAATTTCAGGGACAAGACTCAACATGATAAGGTTCAAATCCTTGGAAATAAGTCACCACTGTGCTCGGTAGATTTAAATGTGAGTCACATTCCTTTGTATCTCTTCATTGCACTATGAAAAGCCTGCTAGGGAGAAAGTTTGCCAATAGGCATGTATTTAGACAGAAAATGTTTAAGCAATCAACCATTTCAGTTCAACTGAATTTCTTGTTCCGTGAAAGTTTACTAGGTGTTTTGACACACACGCGCGCGCACACACACTTGATGTATAAGTATTTTATGAACTTTTGTTAGTTTCTTCAGTTATATGATTGCTGCAACAACTTTCAGGATAGTACTTGCATTTGTGATGCCAAATTCCATTGGAGAATGGGCATTGCTCCCTTTTCCATGTATAATTCACTCATCTAGTCATGTTGATAAGTCTTTACTCTTGTCTTTTTCTATGTATCCATAGATGCTTTAAATTTTCCAATTATATGCATTGTTCATAGATGGTCAAATGAAATAATGCAATTACTATTCACATTTGATACAGGATGTCATTAACTATGATGAATTTATGGGGACCTTGACAAACGAAGAGCAGCAACAGTTACTCCAGTGTCTCACTGCAGTTGATACTACTAAACTTCCTGATAGGTTAGAATCTACTTCATCTATATTTGGCATAAGTTTTATATGTTTTGGTCAAACTGTCATGATTATGTTTGTAAGTCAAACTCCTTAGACAACAGCTTCAAATATTTCTTTTTGGTGTAAATAGCTAGTCAGAATTCAAGATCATTGTAAACGCCCTTCTGACTTCTCAGAGAAAGCTCTTTCATTCAATACGTCAGTGCACCGGACTTTACGGAAGGATCCGTATTTATATTAGATGTCATGTCATGTAAAGATTCAATATTTCAAAAATTTGATTTTTACAAGCTTTTTACGATGTGTCAAATGTGACTTCTTTGGGATATATTAGGTTGAAATTGAATCCAAATTGATATCTGTATTTTTGTTTGCACAGCCTGGAAAGCATGTTTAGCAGCTCCCAATTCAAGGAGAACTTGAATTATTTTCAGCAGCTTCTCGCAGAAGGTGTCTTTGATATCTCCTTATCAGGGACTAAACCTGAAGACTGCAAGACTTTGAAAAGGCTTGCATTATCCAATCTGTCAAAATCTAAATGGGTGGAACATTATAACTTACTTAAGGTTCTGACAAGTTTTTTATTTTATTTGGAACCATTAATTTTGTTGATGAATTGTTATTGTCGATGCTTATTGGCCATTGCATCCTTCTATGATGCAGAAAAATAGGAACAGAGCTGGAAAATCTGTTGCTTCGGGTTATTCCGGCACTTCATTTAGTAATGCTGCAAATGTCAAGAGATATCATGACAGCCAAAGTAAAACTTTATCAGGTTAGCTTCAATATTTGTTCGCCTGCTTTCAAATTTAAGAAATACTAAGACCTTGCAAAAACTGAAAGTACTAATACAAGTTAATAACAAAGCATTAATAAATGCCCTCAGCAACTAATGTTCTTAATTTATGTCAATATTTACCGTTTTCAACTTTGATCTCGCAAATCTTAGAATTGAAGACCACAATGAGGAGTCCTAAAAGGGTGATGATGAAGGTTGGCTGTGAGGCCAAGGAAGCTGAAGACTATGGTTCTTGTTTCAGTCCAAAAAGCCTATTTGCTTTACCTTCTGATGGTGAGGCCCTTATGCTGGACTCTTTCACTTTTGTTGAGGAGAGTGGTGATCAGGATCTGCTGCTAGAGGTACCATCCAATGGTTCTTTTCCAGAGGCAGAGCTTTTGCACCCAACTTTAAGCTTTGGTGCTCAAGCCAGCACCGGTAGTAGTTCAATATACCCTCATATTGTTCGTCCCTGATAAACATTACCAGGCTGCTTTGATGGCTATGGCCTGAGTCTTCTGTAGTGATTAAGGTCTGCATGTTTTGGACAAGAGATATGGTGGTTGCCCATTTGTTGCCATGTTGAGCTTGGAACGGCAAAGAAGGGATGAAATATGGGAGGGCCTTTTTGTATAGGTTGGTAACTACAGATTGTAACATATAACATGAAATGCGGAGTCACCATTCGCAGAGTTTTGTATGAAGTTTTCTTTTGTGAATAATTTCGATACCTCTCAACAGGACTGGTCCTTATTACGAGGAAGTGGGGTGATTGGTGATCCTGATCCATGACTGCCCATTTGAGGTCCGATCTATCTATTTATGACTTGGTTATATTATGCTCAGCGCTTAGTTGCTTAAGCTGCAGCCATTCCAAACTACTGAATTTGTGGCCCTTCACCTACAGGCTACGGAAGAAAAGTGGCGTCACTTGGACTAGATTGATAGGCGGAAAAATGTACAAGTTGCAAGGCAATACAATTATAATGAGCATAAAATTTGCTCAAAATTCTCACCAATGTAAACGCAATTCGTGTTTCAGCAAAATAAATTATAAAAATAGAAGACCCCACTAAATAAGGAGGCCGTATATGATTTTGGTTCCTTATTTAAATATATATTTTTAACTTTAAAAAATAGAGGGTTTAATAATTAAAAAAATATTTTTGAAGTCAAGAATTAAGAGCCTGTTTGGAAGAGCTTTTTAATAGTGATTTATGAAATACAAGATAAATATGTAGGAGGAATTTTATCTCAATTTATATAAAACGCGCTTATAGGGAATTTCTATCACTGAAATCTTTAATTTTGAAAATGCTGAAAGCTTTTATGTATTTACACGGAGTACGAGGCAAAAAAATTAATTATTGTTATGAATAAAGAAGAAATAGAGAAGAATCATACATAAAAAGAGAGGATCAACAAGAGACAGTACTTCTCATTCCATTCAAGTGTGCTCAATACATTATACATGGTTTCTATTTATAGGCACAGCTTTATACCTTCAATAGAATCTACAGATTACATAATAATATAAGATAATTGTGGGATATAGAGATAATGAGATATATTAGATATTATAAGAGATATAGGAGATAATGGGAGATATATGGACATCCATAAAGATATTATTATATTCATAACACTCCCCTTTGGATGTCCAATATATATGAATATGCCTTGTTAAAAATCTTCAACTAGGAAAAACCTTATGAGATAAAAACCTAGCGAAAGAAAAAGAGTACATCATTTATTGATATACTATGCAATGCTGCCTCATTAAAAACCTTGCTAGGAAAACCCAGTGGAACAAAACCATATACAAGGAAAAAAGAGTACAGCGTGTATCAACTCCTCCTTTTAATAACATTAGTTGACATCATCAAGCCCGCAAAATCTAATATAACGAACAACCCTTCCAAATATTGTAATGAGATAAAAACATCAAATATGAATTCTATGATCTTCAAAAAATTATGAGACGAATAGTCCTTTTATGGTTTACCCACACATGGATCATACTATGATCTCTTGACATAATGATCAAACAAGAATATTTCGTTTTTAGAGTAACAAGAATATTTTTAACTTCATTCCAACATCTTCATATTGATAAAGAACTATATCATGCTAATCAGCAAATGATAGCTCAGATTCTATATGACTAGATAGATATATAAATACTTTAGTGACACTAAGATACGATACTTTTGGACCAAGTGTTTATTCATTATCTTCTGAAGGTCTAAATTGATCTTTAGTCCATATCTAAAGATTTTGCAACTACTGAAACATATAATGGATGTTGTTTATCCACATAATGGATGTGATTTATTCATATGTATCCTTCCGAAAGCTTTCATTTCAAGCTTTTCCTTTAAATAATTCGTAGCTTTTGAAAACTCATTAAGAGTTTCGATGTTATCACCATAAGTAATACTGATAACAAACTCATTTTGAATCTTTTTACAAACAGACAAGTTGGAATATGTTTACATCATTCCCTCAGTCGATATTAATCACATATGCCTCATGTAGAGATTTAATTGAATAATGTTCTTGAGAATATAATTGTATGCTTATAGAAACTCAAATCCTTCAAGGATTTTCATACATTATGATCTAGATCTAATCATGTATTGGATTGTTTGAATTTATACAAGGATTCAAATCCTTTTGGGATTCACATATAATTTCACTATAAAGTGAGTCAGACGTTATAGTTATATATATATATTTCTAAGATGCATATGAAAAAACCTCATTTATTACCAAACTATCAGATTGATCAGACATGTAATTTAATCCACTACAAGACTTTATTTATTTTTATATTATACAAATGTCTATTTACATAATACTAGTATTACACTTCAAGTGCATAGGCTAAGGATACACAAATCCTTGTTACATTGCGTCTTTTCTTTTCTGTTGGCCAATCATTTTTCTGTCTGTATCTCACGATAGATTTATATTTAAGATCCTCATTTGATCATGTGATATCATCAATAAAATTATTGTCGATAATTTTATTTCTTTATCGGTCCTATTTTCTTTTATGATATAACATATCGAGATCTTTTTATTGCTTTCAGACACTTAAACCTCTTCAAGGGTCAAATAATTATGTCTTAACCTCTTTTGCAATTCATGCCTCCTTAGTATGATCATCATGATCAATTGCTCCTTTTTCTTTTCTTTTGAAACTGATCATAATCTCATGCTTTTAGCATATCTTCAAGAATAAGAGCATTTTTAGCTAGAATATAAGAATTAAAAATTCTCATTTTGATCAATAATTACATCTGGAAGATATTAATAATATTTTATGAATGCAATATTTATGAACTTCTAGTTCATACTACTATATTTGAGGATCTACATTTGATAGTAAAAATACATTTTATGTATTTTCTTTTCCAGCTACACATTTTCCCCCCTCATATTGAGAACATATAATGTAGATCTCCTAAATTCATAAATCTCCTTTAAAAACATTATTTTGTTTCATTTAGAAACAAACAATAATAAAGAGATTCTATCTAACAGTGATCCTAACTTACTTTTAATATCCATTTATGTGCGTTGTTGCAGTGGAATAATAGACATCACACATTTTAAGATGAAAAATGTTTGGCTCTTGACCAAAAGCCAATTATAATAGGAGAATTCACAATACATTGTTGGCTTGATGCATTTATGTGCAAAAATATATAAAATCAATCATCCCAACACTCAAATGGGAATTTTGTTCTCATAAACTCTGATCTAGCTACTTATAGAGGCTTTTACAAAACATATAATCATCAGCAACATGAGGAATAATCACTAGTAATCTCAACGAGAATAATATTGATTTCATAATCAAGAACTTATGTACTCAATGTAATTATCTGAATATATTTGCAAACTTCATGTTGCAAGTTGATCATAAATACCTATGACCATTTTATAGATGCATCTTTCACTTACAGAGTATTACTTTAGTCCACATGGTGTCTAAATGTGTCCATATATAAAGTTGATACATTATAAATCTGTACGGATCCGATTTTGAGTATAACTAGTGATGTTCTCTTTGAGAACAAATAACACATAAAAAATTCTTAAATCATATATCATTTTTTAAGAATCTTCTCGTTCTTTAACAAATGACAGTACGCATTTTTCATGATATTTTGCATCGCTATGATCCGGGATGATCTGACCAGTCATGTCAAACTATAAATGCATAAACTTTTGGTTTATTGTAAAATTATTCTCAATTATTAGTAAATTTCTTGTTATCATGTCATATTATTAATTTTTCATCTTAATATTTCATAAGGAATATGTTATCAATTATGGATTTTATCTTCAGGATAATAAATCATGATATAACTCTTTTAGAGCATTATTTTTCATCTTTTTACCCAATAGTAAAAACTTGTGCACTCATAGAAGGTTGAGCACTCTTTTGGAGCCTTTTTCAAAAGGAATATGAGATATAAGGAATGACATTAATATTAATAATAACAATTTTCATTCAACATAATTCACACTTGTATTTCAACAATCTCCCCCTCAAGTATGAGTCATATAAATCTCCCCCTTTAGAACTATATCAAAGTATGAAGCATGTGTGTGTTCAAAACATAAAATTTTCTGGATATTTTGTTATTCAAAAACTTCACTTCTTTATATGTATTGTGTAATGCTTCAAAACTTATTCATAAATTTATAAATCCAACAAGAATTTGAAAAGATCTATAAGGACTAAAATCAAACTATATAGTTACGAAGATTTAAATCATAAGCCTTTAGGGCTATTTATAAGTCATTAGTCTTTAAGACTCTATATAATAAATATATATTTTTTAAAAATCATTTGTGTCCCTTAATATTTGAACCATAAGCCTTCAGGACTTTACAAACATCATAAGTTATTATTTTCACGTCGTTCAATAACATGAGTGTAATGACTGCTGGCCATTTAGTAATAGGAAATTATAATATTAATAAATATCAAATTGAATGTCAAGAATATATGAGAATATGATAAGAGTAAAACTTAAATTTTAAATTAATTAAATGTAATATGAAATAAAGAGAAAAGGTAAACTCTTTTACCAACACATTTTTCACTATATAGTCATTAGTTTTCTGGGCTATATTATTTATAATTCCAATTGTCATAATTTTTCTTTTTAAACAAACCATATAATGATCTTTCTCATAATCAAAACTATATAACTTCAGGCTATTTAATAAAGAAAATAAAGATACATGGCATCTAGCTATTTAATTTCAAAATAAAAAAATTAAAGATATATGGTTTTTGACCATAAGATAAAAATTTGATGTTATATGGCTTCTAGCCAATTAATAAAATAACAAAAAAAATTAAATATTTGTCACTTCTAGCCATAAGATAGAACATCAAAATTATATAATGTGAGCAATTTAAAAAGATATAGAAAAATTATATATATAGCTTCTAGCCATAAAATAGGAAATTCAACATGATATATATAAATAAAGATAAATTAAATATATAATTGGCTTTTGGTCATTTAATTACAATGAGATGAAAACTTAGAATTATATGCTTCTGACATTTAATTTAGATTATAACTCTTTAAGGATACTGTAGTATCTATTAGAACTTTGGATTCCATCGAAATAGTAACGTCAGGTCAATAAGAAATAGAGGGGAAAAAAATCTCTCATTATAATTAGTTCCTTAGGTAAAATATCTATATCAAAATTAAATTGTAACACTAAAAGTAAAACAAAATCTCCAATCATAACCATAAAACCTGATGTTTAAAACAATGGTAGATAATCCTTTTAATTCCATATAATGGCTTAGATTATCTTAGATAAATTGAATAGGAATACGGATACTCTAAAACACTATATATATGATGCTCGAGTTATTTTTATTTAAACAGAACAAATGATACTCTAGAAAAATAATAAAGATGATGCTTTAAAATTATGATGGGGTAGTAAAGTATATCATACGCACCTTAATTAGAGCATCGTGCTGATAACGTGTTATGAATAAAGAAGAAACAGAGAAGAATCACACAGAGGAAGAAAGGATCAACAAGAGAGAGTACTTCTCAAGTTCTCATTCTATTCAAGAGTGCTCAATACATTATATATGGCCTATATTTATAGGCACAACTTTACACTTTTGATAGAATCTACAAATTACATAATAATATGAGATAATTATGGTATATAGAGATAATGAGAGATACTAAAAATTATAAGAGACATAAGAGATAATAGGAGATATATGGATATCCACGTAGATATTATATTTCATAACAATTATATTTCTCTTTTAGGCAAAAACGAGTATTTTGTTGTCGTCGAAGTACTCTGTGTTTCTCTCCTGGTAACCCGTCTTTCCTCTGTATTCCGAAGTACGAACTGAGAACCGATATTGACAGTTCACTTAATTAAAATTCGGGGTGGCTTGGCGATTAACAACCGTGCCTCTGTGTAACTGTTTTCCTTCGGACTCGCCAATTTGTGCCGGCCATCAGGTTTAGGGGGTGAATTCATGGTTATCAGGTGACCCTTCTATTGGATTAAGCTTTTAATTATCTGGATGTTTATATTATTTTTTTATGTGTCGCTCCATTGCTCTGCCTAGTTCGGTTTCCAGAAGTGGCGGTGCATATTTCCTTGCCCCCTTTTGCGGTATGATGTTTCCTTTTCGTGCGTAAATGATGAATGTTTTGTTATGGGGCTTCTAATATTTTTATTTTGCTTCTGCTTTTTGCAAATGAGATTCTATGCCCTGCGTTTTTGCAATGTAGAATTGTGACGCGCTAGATATATATCGTATGTCGAAGTCTTTCTGGTTCTTATTTTTGATAATATATCAAGTCGGTCTTTTTTTTCCTTGTTAAAAGGTTAGATTTTCACACAGATAAGAATATTGGTTTTCAAAGCTTCAGGAGCGTGCATCGGTTCTGATGCTTTTGAATTGGTGATGGGGGTTATGGAGAATATGATGCATTCAAAGTCATCAACCAGGTTTGCATCAATCAATAGCAGCGACAACGATGAAAGATCTGGGAAATCATGGATGGAAAATGGGCATTGCACTGTTCTTACCCAGCGCCGTTTTAAGCGCCGAAAAGTATCTGCCATTCGTGATTATCCTGAAGGCTGTGGGAGGTTTGTGCCCAGAGTTGATTTAACACCAAATGTAAATATTATTAACGCTGGTATTGATGAAGGTAAAATAGTTGAGGGTAAGAGTGGGGGAGATTTAAAGGATGAATTTGTTAGAACTTCCAAACTTGAAGATGAGTCCCAACATGCTGTGTTTCCTACTCAGACTGTTGGGCAATCCAGTGGCTATAGTCTGAAGAAGGAAATACCTGTGGTCTCAGCTAAAATTGTTGATGAGCCCCCCTCGACAAATGATGAAACTGTAAAAATGGGGCTGGCGAGCGTGGAAAATTTGGAATCCAGAGGAACTGCAGGAACCATAAAATGTGATTCTTCTAACATGTCAAAAGACTTGCATAAAAATGACCCTTCTTCTCCAGTAGGTAAGGTGGCTTTGTCAGGGAGTAAATTCTTGTCGCCAAATGTAAATATGGCTGATTCTATTGACCGTTTGGATAAGACTGTAACAAGAAGGCGTTTTCCCCAAAGGCGAGTTTCAGCCACTAGAGACTTTCCTCCTTTATGTGGACGGAATGCTCCACGCCTTTGTAAGGATAAGTGTTCAAAGGAGATCTTTTCTGAATAACAACATCATGGGTGAACGGGACTTGGCTGTGGATGACAAGGAATTGAAAAAAGTCACGGCCTCTGATGTGAATGAAGTGGAAAAGAACGTTGAATATGGAGATGCTTGCAATCCAGTGAATATAGTTCAAGGTGATTTTGAAGGGAATGTTATGCGGGAAGTGAATAAGTTGGATGGATTGGAAGCATCTTCTGAGATGGACTTGCTACCAAAAAATCCAGGAGATAAGGGCATTGCGCTTCTTCATGGAAGCAATCACAATCAGGTATTAACAAGTTCCCCAACAGCAGCTGAAGAAGAAAGCAGAGATGCTGTGCTGGTTGAGGGAACACTAGGAAAGGAGATAGTAGTTTATTCAGGAGCCCAAAGCCTTGTGACAGAGCCTCTGGGTACATCTGCCTGCCATCATAAGTCAAAAGGAGATTTCAGTGAATTGCAGGCTCGATCTAGCAGGATGGTTGTGCTAGGTCTGATGTCTCAATCGACATGTCCTTGGAGGAACACTATAGGTTCTTCCAAATTCAGTATGGTTGGTGATAAAAATGAAAGAAAGGGAAAGGGAAAGAAAATTGATTTTTTTGAACGGTTTGACAGGTCTAAAGTTGCTACCAAGTCTAGCGACTCGCCAAGTTGTTCTAGAAAGAAGGCTGTAGTAAAGAAAAAAGGAAGCTGTGCTGCTGAAGGTATGGGTCAACTAGTAGTTTGGGAGGATAAAGGTACGCTTGACTCTGATAAAAATATGGAAGAGAAAAGTATTATCCCAAGATCCCAAGGTTTTGATGTTTATGTTCCTCCTTTTAGTCATGGAAATCTAAATGGTAATGATGAGGACTCAAATGTGACTCGAAATAAAGTGAGGGAGACATTGCGCCTTTTTCAAGTTGTTACTAGAAAACTATTGCAGGAGGAAGAAGCAAAGTCAAAGAACAAAGCGAACAATAATAAGAAGATGAGGATCGATACAATAGCAGCCAAGATCCTTAAGAATAAAGGGAAATATGTTAACACAGGGAAGCCGATCGTGGGACTTGTCCCTGGGGTTGAAGTTGGTGATGAATTTCAGTACTGGGTGGAGCTTAACATGATTGGCCTTCATCGTCAATCTCAGGCTGGCATAGATTATGTAATGTATAACGGTAAGATCCTTGCAACTAGTGTGGTTTCATCTAAGGGCTATGCTGATGAGTTGGGCAGTTCAGATGTGTTGACTTATACAGGACAGGGAGGAGGTATGTTGAAGAATGGTAAAGAACCTGAAGATCAGAAGCTCGAGAGGGGCAATCTTGCTTTGAAGAATAGTGTTGCTGAAAAGAATCCTGTCAGGGTAATACGTGGCTGTGAATCAACAGATGGAAAAAGTAGGAGATATGTTTATGACGGTCTCTATGAAGTGGAGGCTTATTGGCAGGAAATGGGGCCACATGGTAAGTTGGTTTTTAGGTTTCGACTGCGGAGAATCCCAGGTCAACCAGAGCTTGCTTGGAAAGAAGTGAAAGAATGCAAAAAATTCAAAAAAGAGAGGGTGTTTGTGTTGATGACATTTCTAATGGGAAAGAGCCAAACTATTGCAGGAGGAAGAAGCAAAGTCAAAGAACAAAGCGAACAATAATAAGAAGATGAGGATCGATACAATAGCAGCCAAGATCCTTAAGAATAAAGGGAAATATGTTAACACAGGGAAGCCGATCGTGGGACTTGTCCCTGGGGTTGAAGTTGGTGATGAATTTCAGTACTGGGTGGAGCTTAACATGATTGGCCTTCATCGTCAATCTCAGGCTGGCATAGATTATGTAATGTATAACGGTAAGATCCTTGCAACTAGTGTGGTTTCATCTAAGGGCTATGCTGATGAGTTGGGCAGTTCAGATGTGTTGACTTATACAGGACAGGGAGGAGGTATGTTGAAGAATGGCAAAGAACCTGAAGATCAGAAGCTCGAGAGGGGCAATCTTGCTTTGAAGAATAGTGTTGCTGAAAAGAATCCTGTCAGGGTAATACGTGGCTGTGAATCAACAGATGGAAAAAGTAGGAGATATGTTTATGACGGTCTCTATGAAGTGGAGGCTTATTGGCAGGAAATGGGACCACATGGTAAGTTGGTTTTTAGGTTTCGACTGCGAAGAATCCCAGGTCAACCAGAACTTGCTTGGAAAGAAGTGAAAGAATGCAAAAAATTCAAAAAAAGAGAGGGTGTTTGTGTTGATGACATTTCTAATGGGAAAGAGCCAATTCCAATATGTGCTGTGAACACCATAGATGATGAAAAACCCCCGCCATTTGAATACACAACTAGAATGATATATCCTAACTGGTGCAATCCCATTCCTCCAGAGGGATGTAATTGTACAAATGGATGCTCTGACTCTGACAAATGTTCTTGTGCGGTCAAAAATGGGGGAGAGATCCCTTACAATCATAATGGAGCCATTGTAGAAGCAAAGCCTCTTGTGTATGAGTGTGGTGCTTCTTGCAAGTGTCCTTCAACATGTCATAACAGAGTCAGCCAACATGGGATAAAATTTCAACTTGAAATTTTTAAAACCAAGACAAGAGGATGGGGTGTGAGATCCTTAAATTCCATTTCTTCAGGAAGTTTTATCTGTGAATATATAGGAGAGCTTCTTGAAGAGAAGGAAGCAGAACAAAGAACTGGTAATGATGAATATCTATTTGATATCGGGAATAGCACCAACAGTACTCTTTGGGATGGACTTTCAAGCCTAATGCCTGAGGCACAGTCAAGTTCTTGTGAAATTGTGGAAAATAGTGGTTTCACCATTGATGCTGCCCAGTATGGCAATGTTGGGAGATTTATCAACCATAGTTGCTCCCCTAATCTTTATGCTCAAAATGTTCTTTATGATCATGATGACAGGAGAATACCTCATATTATGTTTTTTGCTGCTGCTGAAAATATTCCTCCTCTGCAAGAGCTGTGTTATGATTACAATTATATGATAGATCAAGTTTATGATTCTGATGGCAATATAAAGAGGAAGGACTGCTTTTGTGGTTCTGCAGAGTGCACTGGTAGGATGTACTGAGGCTTGCAAAGAGGTAATTTGTTTCTTCTATTGAAACTTAGTTATGAACAATGATAATGATTATTTTCGTTCTGAAGGTGTATATATCTTGTTTAGTTGTTGCCTTTTCATTGATGACTCTTGATGCTTCTTTAGATAGGTGGCAGCGTGACATCCATCGGAGTACTGAAATTTAACTAGGATTTACTCCACGTATATAATGCCCTTCATTCATTAATTGTGAGTTAATTAGGGTTCAGTGTTAAACGAAGGGCATCTTTAGAAGTTTATACTTCTTTTTTGGAAAAAAAATAAAATAAAATTGAGACTTAAAACTATATTAGTGAGGTTCATTGGTCTTTGCAATTTACTCCTAAAACGTCTTAAAAGTTCAAACAGAGGGAGTATTAATTCTATTTTTTGGTTAGACTGACATTATATTATTATTTGTTGATTTTTTTTAAGTTATAAATTTATTCATCACATCTCTTTTCTCTTTCAAATTATACTTTAATTTTTATCATTTAACTCTTTAGATTTATTTTCAATCTTACCGCTACTTGAACTTTATCTTTTATTTTAGTTTTATTCATAATTTTTACTTCTTATCTTTACTAACTTTATTTTTTTAATTAATTTTATTATTGTTTCTTCTTTGATATCTTTCTTATATAAAATAGTATATACTTAAAGTATATTAATTCACCGGTTTGATCATGTTTCAACCATAATTTGGCCATTACGGGTTTTTATTTGATGGTAGTCTGCACAGACCTTCTTCACCCACTTTTTTTTTTTGGCCGAAATTCTTCACCCACTTATTGTGTCTTTTCTTGTGTCGAACAGAATGGCTCAAACCATTGTTACAAGTTGGCTTGCTGCTGTGGTGAGTTCTTTCAAGAAAGTGTTCGAAATTTAAAGAGAAGTGGTGGATATAGGCTAGGCTGTCTGAAGATTCTGGATGCTCTTCATTGCCTTGTTCATTTCTGATAGCATACAAGAGAAATTACACTTAGCTGCTTAAAATGACCATGGTATGATAAATGCTGATTGTCACGTGGTTATCTATTTGGCCTCTACCTATTCTTCAACTGTTATTTCTTCGCTTCAAGCCTGTTAGTTGTTTCATTTTATTTCTAGTTGGGTCTTGTGATACCTATTAGAGTACATTTTGCTGCATGAGGGAGAAAGAAAAGTAGACATAGTGTTTATTTGGAATATTTATCATGTCGTTGTTATTGTTTTTTTTATTATTATTTAACAATTAACATTTCTGATGATTTTTTTATGTTGGAACACAAGACGTTTGTCATATTTTCATTTGATATTACTTTATACTTGAATATTGCGTGAATTCGGAATTTGTTATGCTAGATTAAGGGGTTGCATTGGCTGTCTCTCATCCGTGGCCAGCGTTCTTAAAATTATGACAGAGTCATCATTAGTTTGCTGCGTCTTTCATCCTTTTTTTTTTTTTTTAATTAAAAGGGCAGATACAATAGCTAACCTCCCTCTTGTAGGGGAGTTCTCATGTTACTAGATTGCAAAGCCAATTCTTTTATCACCTAATTTCTCAAGTGACCAAGACCACCCAGGAAAAGTCTACGCACCATTGCTTGCTAGCAAACTAGTGCCATCTAACATTATGTCTTGTATTTTTAATTTTCCTGTCTGTCCAAGCATCGATGTCACAATCGTTGGAAATTTGATCTTGGATGTTTCAAGGCATTCTATCAAGGACCCTTCATAGTACGCGTTGCGTAAACTAACAGGTTTCTTTATTCATTATGATAATATTAATATTAATTCCCTTCTCAGGAAGCCCTGCAATCGGATTCCAGCAGACCAAGCACTAAGCTTGCCTTCTGAGAGCAACACTGATTAACTAGAACATGATGAATATTGAATGCTGTAGCCTCCCCCTCGCCACTCTTCTATTTTCAGGATTTAATCTATGTGAAGTTGGGTGTCATAAGAAGCTCCAATTTTCCAGTCACTTGGAATGGCACTCTTAGACTGTACTGAATAAAGTCCTGAACTCCCAGTTAGTTGCAGCCTCACGATAATGGGTTGGCGTGGCGCAAAGTCCAGATACGCCTGCAACACTCCCATCATTCACGGTCCTTCCATAATCGCCATACCACAAGCTCCCCCTAATCACATATTTATCATTTCGTCAATATCACACACACACACATATATAATTGTTTTTTTGGGGGGGGGGGGCGCTAAGCCATGGTTTGAATACAAAAAATACGACGAGGGTAGAAGAGGAGCTTCTCGTACTTGGATTCCCATAGCTATCAGGGCTACCATAATAGGTAGCTCTGGAGGATATGAAGTCCTGGGAGATGCAGAACACAGGGAAGAGCAGCATCACGCAAAGAAGGCCAACTTGGTATTTAGAATGAAGTTCCATTGCTAAACGGCCAAGTTCAGAGACTCGAAGAAGAGCAACTAAATTGGATGCTAGAAAGGAAGTGATTAGACTTGGGCCCTAAAATGGGTTCAATGACTAGACAGCACAGATTGGGACGGCATTTATAGATGACACCGGAGGCCTCGTGTGCTTTAGACAGTGAGATGTATCTAACTTTTCTCCACATTTGGAGCTCCGGATTGGATCGAATAATGAAGTGCCCTTGGAGAGGAATAATGAAGAGCACTTGTAGACCCTAGCATGTCGAGGGGTTGACATCTCCGTACAACTTTATATGCATATCTCGGAGGTCAGGTCATATGTATTTATGAAAACAATGCCAGAATACCGAACTTGGCGCCACTGAACAATATAATGTTGTGGGAGGAACATCCACGAAGCGGCAAACTTGACTGAGAATAGAGAAATGATGAGAATGCGGAGGCCGCAGCAAAAGGACAAGGAAAGGGGGTAGATCCTAAGGTGTCAGTTGGAATCAATGTCGGCGCACACTTGCCAGCAGATCGATGCGCAGCCTCGGATTCGAAAGTTGTTTAATATCAGCGCCATTAGTATTTGCCTTATCGTCACATTTTTTTTTTAATTCTTGCATACATAAGCAATGAACTCAGCATCAGCAGCATCGCTATTCGGTGAAACAGTGCGACCACTGTCCTTTTATTTTGAAGATTAATAATTAATAATTTCCTCCCTATGGTTGCAATTCCCTTTCTAAATTTTAGTAAAATTTTAACACAGCGTAACTTACTTATGGTCTTATAACTTAGGGACGTGAAAGGCTCTTATGCAAAGGAGTTGCTAATTGGGTTGTCTTATTATTTAAGTTGTTAGTATCTTCTTCTCTAAATTCAAAAAGCATAGCGCAATTTAATTCTCATAATTTTGATTTGATTTAAAATCAATCATTAAATTTTGACTTAATCCAACTCAATATCCATAGTTTTAACTATTTGAAATGTTGATTCCTTCATTTAGAAAATAAAATTATAAGGACTACAGTTGTTTTTCTATACTTGGAAATTAATGTTTTAAATAATTAAATTATAGGTATTGAGTTGCATTAAATTTAAATCAAGAGATTGAGTTCTAATTAAAGTCAAATTAAGGGGCCAAATCATTATCTACATTTTCAATTTTTACTTTTATATCATCTTAATAAAAAGATAATTTTATTTAAACTAAGTAAAAAAAATTATATATAAAAGGTCGGCCCATCACATATGATTAATTTGAGCAAAGTTCAAATAAATAATACGGAAAGGCCTATTTTTAATATATATAACAATATATTATATATTACATCCATTTTACTTTTATATAATAATATATTGATGATTATATTCGACATAAAATTTCATTGTTTTTTTTTTCCTTAAAAATATCTTAACGTACCTATTTTTAGGAGTGTTGGCCTTTTCTTATACTACCTCTAGTTTTTAATATAAGAGTTAGTTTGATTTTTAATTTGATACTAAATATAAAACTCCAATTCATTTTATCTCTCACTTGTATCCATTTTTTTCAGAGTTCTTGTAATAGTTATATATATATTAAAAATTCTATCAAATAATAGTTTTAGCTAATACATTTGATTAGCAAGAGTATTTTAAGAAAAACAACATCTAATTATTATAAATAACTATCTTAACAAACTTTTTCAATTTACTTAAATTAGTCAACTAACTCTTATATTAAATACCAAAGTTAATACTCTTATTTATCTAATCCACCTTATCCACCCCGGTATTCGATAAGCCGCGTTATATATTTTGCTTTATCTTTACTTTTAAGATCACAAAGCCTACGTTCAGTTGGATTTTGTCGTCTCTGATCTTGTTGCCACTTCCTTATATTTGGGTTGATATTCCTTTCGAATAACACTCTAAAAGAGAGCCATTATCAGCTTGCTCTGTTTTCCACCAACTAACTTCTTACGCGACCGAGACAACCGGGGAGCGTACTCTTCACAAATGGAAAGTAAGGAGTCCCTGTTATTTATTTATTTATTCCAGTAACTATATCATTTATTTCTCTGGACATATTATTCATTTATTATTTTTAGACATGAACTTGAGAGTCGTAAGAAGCTCCAATCTTCCAGTTCCCGGGAATCGCACTCTTGGTCGACTGAACCCAAACTGTTCTTCCACTGAATTGCCGCCTCAGCATCAATGGTCCGCTTGGTGCGCCAATTATATCAAACACTGCCCCATACGCTCTTCTCATTGGCTTCCATTCTTTACTATCATTCTGTATCATTATCATTTCAATTCAAACACGCGTCCTTACTAAGTTGATAACCACAATTAAGCATCTCAAGAGAAGAAACAGAAAAGGGCATTTAATTGAAAGTTTCATACGTCATATATCTCAACGGCGGCTACGTCGTTCATTCCAGGAATGTAGAGAAGGACAATAGCAAGATAATCTGGGTATCTGCTAGCCTCGTGGATTTTGATCTTCACGTTATACCCAGCATATGTGCAGGGTACCCTCCTGTATTCGATGTCTACGACGCCGTATTTGATGTGAGGTAGCAGTTTTTCTAAGAGACATGGATCGATTTCGGAGTCTGTTTTTGCAGCGTAGTCCGTTGCCACTACCACTATGCCACGTTCATCGCAGTATTTAGGATCCTTACACCTTACCTGATCGTTCCATGAAACAATAATGTACAAGATCAAAGCTAAGTTATCTTTTATTTTAACTCTGTACAAATAAAATTGATTCAACTGTAATGTCCTTATATGAAGAAAAAGGTGTTTGTATGGAGTCATCCGTTCGTTATGACAGTTACCTGGTAGCAAGCACCACATCCGGCGCCATTCCTCCATAATCCACCACCCACGGACACAACCCTCCCGTAATTCATAGTCCTAGTATAATTGCCAATCCGCAAGCTCCATCTAATAACATGTATGCACATTTCGTCAACAATTATACACAGCTATTCGTGTGTGGGTGTGTGTGTGTGTGTATCATTTTACATTATTTCTAAAAGCAAATGGGTATTACATTTCACCATTTAGGAGGGTACCCTTTAACTTGAAAGTGAAATATGCGTCGCCAAAAGCAAATTTTTCTCCCAGCTGAACAGGAAAAGAATATAGAAATTTCGCATATCCCAAAAAAAAAAACAGAGAGAAAGAAATGTAAAAATTACGATATATCAAGCGTCCATGCGGCAAATGTTGAGAGTTGAATGCCCTTATATATATATATATATATATATATATATATGAGTATCTTGAAACACATATAATGCAAGCTAGCTCCAGAATAAGGCTCAGCTAAGTTATGGATTTGGATTAATGGAATCAAAGAATGTGATATGCATGCGGAAAGGTATATAAAGGGGATATTCATCGATAGGGAGTTGAAGAGATAGGGTCACGTACTTGGGTTTATATCGCAATATCCAGGTCCTGGAATTGGTGGGATCCTAATCCTATGAAGGTTAGCTCCGGAGAATGCAAAGCCCTGGGAGGTACATAGTGCAGGCAAGAGCACCATCACGAAAACAAGGCCTACCTGGTGCTTGGAATCAAGTTCCATTGCTAAACAATGCCAAATTAACAAGACCCAAAATTCAGTTTACTAGTTCAGCAATCAACGATGTGATGAAAAGGTATTTATAGATCATAATGCTGGCCTTCGGTAAAGTGAAATAGTTTCCCAATTTTCTTTCCCTTGGATCTCTGGATTCGATTTGAATACTTAAATGCACACCCCTAGCATCTCCAACTCTGTGTGTAGGTAATCTATATATCCCAAGTTATCCATTTATCAGTAATTACAATTCCAAGTTGCATAACTTGGTGCTTCTGTATGACATTAATTTTTCCCTCAGGAAGATCCACAAACCGGCAGACTCGATTCAAAGATTGGCCTGATTCGTACGCAAAGGGAAAAAATAAATATAGTCAATCCTAAAATTAAAATATAGACACTTGCAAACAGGTGCGCCGCAGCATCGTTGGGCAAAGTCCCAATCCTCGAAGCTGAGATCTGCAAATAATGGATGGAGGAGAGGACGACGGTGCAAATGGGGGTGGATGGGTCAGATGATGGCGTTCGGACGGAGAAGGGTAGCTCAGACGAACACGGCTATGAGGCTAGTGAATTAGGAAGCCCAAAAAGGGCTTTTCATCACCAGAGGGATAAAATGCCCAGAACTTACAAGATTTTGCATGAAATCAGTTTGATTCCTTGACCGCAAAGGTGGCGTAAGATTTTAGCCATTTTGCTAGACGAATCAAATACCTTGGGAATCTACTGAATATATAGATGCAAATATTAATGACATATATATTTGAACTTCTACGGTGTATTCTCTGTTTCAACGTACGTTAGTTTTAATCCTAACTGGTAGTCCAGATAATAATAATTTTGTAAGCTAGCATCATGCATCCTTTTTTATTTTTTTCCCTCCTCGGTCATTCAACGACCCTTCTTCTGATTTTGGCCATTTTGCTGGACGAATAAACACTCCCACATACACATGAACTTCTGTTGTGAATTCTCTATTTCTGCTTTAGCTTTCGTATTCTAACTGGTTAGTGTATCATTGATCTGTATCATATTGGCGGCTTGATTCCATTTGGTGTATTAGCGAAAGTATTGATTTTGAGGGTGTCTCTGATCTTGTGCTGATGTGGGGTGTACTACTTTGAATTCGGTCAGACAATTCTTGAGTGAATCTTATTGGGACTTGTCATTTTAACATAGTATGGTTTGTATTGATGAATGGGAGATTAATAGGTTATGCTTCCTTCTAATTGACTTATTGTGATGAAATTTCAATGGCACCGATATTGATGATTGCAATATACTATGAAGAGTTATTTAGGGTATCTATGACTTGGTGTACCATGGTGGTTATATATATTTGTTGGCAGTCTGCGCAGATTAACTCGAGAAATGAGAGTCAAAATTGATTACAATGATCTTGATATATAATTAATGTCGGGTTGTCACGTGATTGCAAAGTAGAGCTCTCATCAATGCACCAATATATGTATTATATAATGACCCAAACAAAGAGGTCTGTTTATTCAGATATTAATTCCATCACAAATGGAAATTGTGCAGATACTACTATATGATAGCTTTATTTATTATTCCTATAGACATGCATATTACTTATCTATTCCTCCTGTCTGTACACATATTATTCATTAAGAAAGACACAACACCCAACACCAGCATCTCCAAATCTCGCTCATGCGGATGTAATTTAGAGATGAACTTGAGAGTCATAAGAAGCTCCGATCTTCCAATCTGCAGGAATAGCGCTCTTGGACGACTGAACCCAACTTGTTTTACCACCGAGTTGCAGCCTCAGCATCAATGGCCCACTTGGTGCGCCAACCATATCAAACACTGCCTACGCTCTTCTCATTGCCTTCCATTCATGGCGATCATTCTGTTTGGTTATATCATTTCAAGTAAGCATCTCTAAAAGAAGAAAGGAAATTAATTAATTAATTAATGAGCAGTCACTAAGTTGGAAGTTCCCTACGTCATAAATCTCAACGGCAGTGACGTCTTTCATTCCGGGGACGTAGAGAATGACAATAGCAAGGTAATATGGGTAAGTGCTGGATTCGTGGATTTTGATGAGGACGTTAGAGCCAGCATGTGTGCAGGGTACCCTCCGGTAATTGACGTCAACGACGCCTTGTTTAATGAGCTCTTTGGCTGCAATGTCGTTTCGTCCCATTTTGGAGAAACCCCGTACACTCATTACGAAGTCTGTTCTGTCTCCTGCACCATAGTCTGTTGCCACTACCACTGAACCGTAGTTACTGCGTAATTTTCCCTCCTTACATATCACCTGAATGAACCCCACGTCCCCGTCAAAACAAACCCCAGTTATGTGCTTTATTACAAGTAAAATCGATTCTATTACCAAATCTGTTAGGAAGGGGACCATAAGTCTAGAAACATGATTGAAAACAAATGGGCAGAGTCAAGAATGGAAGACGCGCCATGTCTTGAAAACTTCAAACTTCAAATTGTTATATACTACTCCAGTTCTAAATATAAGACTATTTTTATAGTGTAATTTACACTACAAAAAGAGTTATATCTAGGACCGAAGGAGTATTATTTATTAAGCTCAATTCTATCCAACTTTATCCTATTCGTTCACATTTAAGGCAGTTAATTGTTGAATAATAATAATAAAGAAGAAGAAGGAAAGTAACTTGGTAGCAGGCACCGCATCCAGCACCACCTCTCCATAGCCCAGACACGCCAGCAACCATCCCGTCGTTCACGGTTTTTCCATAATCACCAAATCCACACGCTCCGGCTAATAACGTATTTATATCATTTTGTCAATAATCATATATTTACAATTAATAAACAAAAGGTGGATTTTACTATATGTAAAACCATTTACCTTACCTTAAAGTGAGACTTCTCGAGAGTGCAAAAATCAAACCAACACAACACGCCCATGGCCAAAATGTTTAGATTTTTGCTTTCCCCATATGAAAGAGCGTGTGTGTCTCTGTGTATTCCTAATGATCTATTGCTAATCGTGTATTAAATAGAGGATTTTTCACGTACTTGGAGTTCCGTAGCCATCAGGGGTAACATAAAGGGTAGCTCTGGAGGGTGTGTAGCCTTGCGAGAAACATAGAGCAGGCAAGAGCAGCATCACACAAACAAAGCCCACTTGGTATTTAGAATTAAGTTCCATTGCTAAATGCCAAAATTCACAAAAGAGAAACCAGGTTATAAATGTATTTACTGGTTTGGAAGCAAAGATGGGGAGTGGTATTTGTAGATTATAATGGTGCCCTTGTGTTGTTGGAAGCGAGACAATCTTCAACTTTCCTTTCCCTTAATTAGAACACAGGATTTCATTGGAATAATATATACATTAAGTGGGCGTGTAGACCCTAGCATCTCCGACTCTGTGTACGTATTTGTCTATGTATACATCCCAAATTTATGTATTTATGATCACAATGCCAAACGGTCTTATGCTCGTTATTGCAACATTTTTTTATATACTAGCAGACAAACTTGATTCAAAAATTAGGGGCCTGCTGATGCAAAATAGAGGTAGCCAAAGGAAAAGGGACACATGACAGCAGGTTGTCCTAAAATATTTGTTGGACGGTGGTAGTAAAAACATTACTCTTCTAGGACCTAATTGTTAAATTGATTTTGATTCTAAATATAAAACCTATTTATCATATTTATCAATTTTTTCTAAATTACTCCTATGGATACTCCCTCAACCATAATCAAGTAGAAGAGGGAAAAGGGATATTAAGGAAGATGATTATGATGTTTTAGGAAAAACATGTCATATTTTTTATAATTAACTAACTTACTTAACTTTTTTAATCTAATCAAACTAATTAAATAGATCTAGTATTAATTTCCTCTTTACACTGACTTTTGAAGCGAACTACATAGGCCAAAAATTGGCCTTCTCGTACTGCCAAAATGCCCAATGAAAATGACGTCCGAGACATGTCGGAGAAGGACAAGCTCTTTTCTTTCCTGGAAGGCCGTAAGCCATGGGCAGAAGCTGAGTTGCAGAGACGAGGAGTGTGCTGTGAGCTTATATCGTGCTGTTGATTAAACGCTCATTACATTTTATATATTAGTGCTATATTAATTTCAAGATTACCAGATAATAATTTCTTTAATTTACGAGGGACGCAAGAGATTAAAAATTACTATTTTCAATCCTTAATATAAGAACTAATTTGACATTCAATTTGATCTTACATATGAGACCACAATTTATTTTGTCTTTCATATTTATTCATTTTTTTCAAGATAATCTTTGTAGTAATTGTACATGTTAAATGTTTTATTAAATGGTAGTTCTAGCTAATACATATGATTAGCAAGGTATTTTAGAGAAGATATCACATACTACCTCCGGTCCTAATTATAAGAGCTAGTTAACTAATTTGAAGAGATTACGGAAAGAAATTAAGTTAGTTATTTGTAATAAATAGATGTTATCTTTCCTAAAATACCTTGCTAATTAAGTGCACTAGCTAAAACTACTATTGTTAAAAGGACTACATTTGGAAAAAAATACATAAATATAAAAGACAAAATGGATTGAGATCTTATATTTTAAATAAAAATAAAAGTTAAACAAAATATTATATTAAGGACCAGAGGCAGTGTTTATTTCAAATAACTAATAAACTAATTTATTTAATCTTCTTAAATTAGTTAATTAATTTTTATAATTTTCGTACCTTTGTACCCGTAATCTAATCCTGATGATGAACAAGACTTCGTCAAGAGTTGGACCGAAACCTAAAATGCCAGATATAAATCGCCGGAATTCCTTTACGGACTTGGTCCTAAAAAAATCTTCCTCCTCGTCTCTTAATGAAGGCGGGCATGAATTAGTTTTGCGCCGCCGGAGCCCATTGTAATGTTTAAACTTGGAATTCTCAGAAGGAGCTAAAGGAAAATATACGATGAACTGGTAAAATCCCATGTACACCAGCATTCAAATATATGCTTCTGATGACATTAGCAAAGGAGTTATATAAATTCAATTGAATTATTTATAATTTTGTAATGATTAATGTATTGATTTGATAAATTCTCACTCATAAGCCTAGTATGCTTGAGACGGAAACACTGATTTTCTCTCGCTTGTTTCCACCTTTTCATTCTTTTTATTAGGTCAAACAGCTTTTATTCTTTATCAAACACAAATATACTAATATTCGAGATCGAAGACTTTCTTGCTTTTTTCCTTGAAAATGGTTTTTGCAATATATGTAGGATGGCTAAAATTATTTGCTTCTCATACTATTTTCCGTATTTATATTTTTTTAATTTTCTTAGTAATTACCTGCATATTCATGACCAGAACTTCAATATATTGCCCAAATAGCAAAGTCATCTCCCTGCATGGATTCATTCAATCCTGCTGGTAGGACCCTTTCAAATTAAAAAAACTTTTGTATATCTTTCTTATTACTTTTTTAAAAAATATAATTCCAACTTGATGGCCGGTACGCAGATAGAATATATAAGAAGGGAAAAAGCAATTCTTAAAATTAAAGTAGAATTTGAAATTGTAACCCATGCTAATTAAAATAACTAATGCACAGCTTAATTTTGCAGTGGATGTCAATGATTGCATCGTATTCCGTTTAGTCCTGAGCTATTAATTATTAATCAAATAAAAGTAATATTTTTTAAAATGATAGATATACATAATAATAGACTAGTTGTCTGATCGATATGTATCAGAGGAGACGAATATGATCGATAGAGAAGAATGGGAACTGGCATCACAAAAACAAACTCGGGTTCAATGGGCGGGCCTGCAAACAAGTTCAAAACAAGAATTATTGAGTATAGAGATGCAAATATTAATATATTTGAACTTTCAAGTGAATTTTCAACGTAGCTTTAATCCTACCAGGCTGTCCAGATAATAATTATTCTGTAAGCTGGCATAATGTATCCTACTTTTGTAATCCTCGGTGTTTCAGCGACCAAGAGCGTCGATATGTCCGAATCATTATGTAGGAACCAATGATGAAAACTTGTTCTCGGTTGTTTAATTTAAGGCCTTTCATGAAGGATACCCTCCGAAGTAAAGTGTTTTGCCACTCGATCAAGTGTCCTTATCAATTAAAGCGCGTCTTCTCACAGAAGCCAACTTAATTATTGGTTAACACAGATAATATGTAATGATCATCTTCTTCTGACAGTACAGCACAGAAAGACTCAGTATTGCACTATATTAGTGCATAAAAAGGAGAGGTTTCCTTATTCATATATAAATAATTAAATTAATAATTCCTCCACAAATGCAAAATACACAAACCCCTATTATTCATATTTATTCCTTTTAGCGGACACGGCAACAAACAGCTTGCATGCTTGGAGCCACACAGGTTATATGGCCCCCTCTTTATCCAGCATGTAATTAATTTAGACATGAACTACTTGAGAGTCGTAAGAAACTCCAATCTTCCAGTCAGCAGGAATAGCGCTCTTGAACGACTGAACCCAACCTGTTTTACCACCGAGTTGCAGCCTCAGGTTCATTGGTCCACTTGGTGCGCCAACTATATCAAACACTGTCCCGTACACTCTTCTCATCGGCTTCCATTCATGCCCATCATTCTGTTTCGTTATAAATTAGCACAAGCAAGTTCATCCAAAAAACAAAGAAGGAAATTAATTGGCAGTAAGTTGAAAGTTTCATACGTCATAAATCTCAACGGCGGTGACGTCGTCCATTCCGGGCACATAAAGAATGACAATAGCAAGGTAGTATGGGTAATTGCTGGCCTCGTGGATCTTGATACGTACTTTGGAACCTGCATATGTGCAGGGAACCCTCCTGTATTCGATGTCTACGACGCCGTATTTATTGAGCTCCGCCGATGCGCTTGGGTTTCGTCCCAGTTTTGAGAAACCATTTGGACTCATAATGAAATCTGTTCTGTCTCCTGCGCCGTAGTCTGTTGCCACTACCATGGTGCCGGAGCTATGGCATAATCTTGAATTCTTGCACCTTACCTGAACGCCATTTTCAGGAAACAATAGAATTGGTTCGATTATAATATGTTTATATGGAATTTGTTGAGTCATTTTGGCCCGTTAAGACACTTACTTGGTAGCAAGCACCACATCCGGCGCCATCTCTCCATAAGCCAGACACGCCTGCAACCCTCCCATGGTTGATAGTTCTGCCGTAATCGCCGTATCCACAAGCTCCAGCTGATAACAAATGTATGTCATCATTTCGTCAATAATCATATTTGTAACAAATATTTAGAAGGGTGCCTAGGTTTCATCAAAACAAAACTAATCAAAAGAATATTAAGTTTTCAAAGTGAGAACACGCCATGGGCCATAAAGTTTACATTTTGCTTCCCCAATAACAAGCTAAGAGTATCCTAATTCCTAGCTTGTAGAGTACATTCACATGGAGGTTATGGATGCTGACTATAACCCCGAAACTCATAATACGTGCAGGCTGCGGAATAAGGCCTGTGGCGAGCCAATAAGCTGACCTATGGATTTGCTTAAATGGGTTCGAGTACAAAGAAAGTGATATATGTGGAGAGATTTTAAACGAGTTTTACTTACTTGAAGTTCCATAGCCATCGGGGGTGCTATAATAGGTGGCTCTGGAGTCTGTGAAGCTTTGGGATATGCATAGTGCAGGTAAGAGCAGTACACAAACAACGACCGCCTGGTTTTTAGAATGAAGCTCCATCTAAATGAAAAATTCAAAAGCGCAAAGAAGAAAACTGCGTTAAATGTAAATTGTATGGGTTTTCTGGTTTAGGAGGCAAAGATGATGAGGTATACGTTATATATATACACACACAAAAGCTAGCTATTCATGATTATGATGCCAAATTGTCTATCTGTGCACTATTGTTGCAACGTTTTCTTTTTCGTACATGAATATAGAGGAACAGGAAAACTTGATTCAAAGATTAGGTGCCTGATGGAAATAGATGCGGTCAAGAGAAAAGGAAGGCGTACACGGTTAGGACACGTTCAAATGCTTCTGAAGTAAGAAACGTTAGTGAAATGATAGGATGAAAGTATTTTGATATTTATTAACAATGATAACACCTACAATCTCAATTCAATACTTACTTTTAAGCAAGCAAGTATACAGAGTGTCGGGTCGGTGACACCTTTAATTTTCGCTTTCGGTCTGCGAAAGCATCTACATTTTATTATTTTTATCATATTTATCAAACATCTCTAATTGTCCTTCATAAGTTCGAGAGATAAAAACTTGCATTCCCCTTAAAAACTTATTATTTTTTGCAAATGAATGCTATATATCTAATCTCCCTTAGACAGCCAGTTTTTTCCCCGGCTCGTTTTATGATTCGAACTTGATAATACGCAGAACATAAAGGGAACTTGAGAAAGCAATCCTGAGTAGTATGTTTAAAATCTTAATCCATGCTAGCTAGCAGCTAATGTACGGCTGGCATTATAATGGACGTCACTGTTGATTGCTTTCCCACTCTACATTCTCTTATGGAATTCTGAACTTTCTTTTGTCGTAAACGGAAAAAAGGAGGGGGGAAAATAGAAGGTAGAGGAGATTGACAAAGGTAAGCATCGTATTTGATCCGTTTCGTCCTGAGTTGATGACAATTAAAATAAGAATGCCTTTTTTAATTTCATTAATAATATTCGGGTTGCCCGGTGTGCAAGCTTATCCTAGAGCCTAGAGTTCGAGGGATTATATGGATGAGAATGGAAGTTTGTTTCTTTGGTACAAAGAAGAATGGAAATTGGCACTGCAGAAACAAACTAAAATTCGATTGGAAGTGTAAGCAAATCCAGAGTTTGATTTCTATGAATGGGTGCAAAGAATTATTAATCATATATTTGGAGTTTTGCTTTTAATTGTCTATATCTCTACAAACGTTGATTTTCATATGACTTTCTATCAGCTACTTGATGTTAATTCATCATTGTCAATATTAAATATAGATTTTGTAAAGCATAATCAAGCCATCAACAACATGATTCAAATTCATCTTAATTATTAAAAGACTGTCTTGCATGTTTTATTAATACTTGATGATGGCAGTCTAGGCCTTATTTAATTTCACCTTCTTCATCGTAGATCTGGATCACCCCATCATTTCATTAGCATCCTTTCTGCGAAAGGAACTAAATTGGGGCCCATAGTATTTTGTTCATTACTTTGTGTGTTACTTTAATTTATAGAGATAAATCTGAATTTCTAAATTTATATATATGTTGTGTGTGCGTGTGTAGTGCTCATACATACTGTATGTTATAAAGTAAAAAAAATTTGTATTAATTTTATCTTTTTAATTTACTCAATCGATTTTTTTCATTTCAGATGCTCTGCACCAAAGCACTTGATAAATTTTGGCATTGTACGGGGTCCTACACAATATTAGTCACACATGGCACACCATATTTAATTTTCCGAGAGCAGAATTTGTTTTGGTTCTATTTATAAAATTTTTAATTTTTTATCTTCATAATTTATTAATCCTTTTCCAAACTATCCTTATATATTGAGAAATAATAAATTGTCTGAATTAAATTTGCTTACTCTCTCGCATTAAAGATGATTGTTTTTGACCAATTTTTCGCAAATTAAAATATAAAAAACCAATTTACTTAACTTTTTTCTAATACGTGTTAGTTGGTCAATAATATCTTATAATTAGTATGAAAGTGGGTAACAATTATTTCTCACACCTCAACCGATGAATCCATGGTGCTTTTTTTTTGGGCCAACGAAGAGGTTTTATTCATATATTAAGTCCATCACAAATAATGGAAAATATAATACATAAATCCCCTATTATTTATTCATTCCAGCAGACATATTTATTTATTTCTTTTACGAAACACGACGACAAACAGCTTGCATGCATGCGTGGAGCCACACAGTTTAGGTGGCATCCTCCTCATATATCCATTTTAGACACGAACTTGAGAATCATAAGAAGTTCCAATCTTCCAATCTGCAGGAATGGCACTCTTGGTAGATTGTACCCAACCTGTTCTTCCACTGAATTGCAACCTCAGCATCAATGGTCCGCGTGGTGCGCCAACTATATCAAACACTGCCCCGTACGCTCTTCTCATTGGCTTCCACTCATGGCGATAACTCTGGATCATCATTATCGTTTCGAGTTGATCTTAATCATACTTAAATTCCTCAGAAAAATAGAAGAAAATTAATTAGCAGTAATTAAGTTGAAAGATTCATACGTCATAAATCTCAACGGCGGTGACGTCTTTCATTCCGGGCACGTACAGAATGACAAGAGCAAGATAGTCTGGGTATCTGCTGGACTCGTGGATCTTGATCTTCACGTTGTAGCCAGCATATGTGCAGGGCACCCTCCTGTATTCAATGTCAACGACGCCGTATTTCTTGAGCTCCGCCGATGCGCTAGGGTTTCGTCCCAGTTTTGAGAAACCATTTGGACTCATAATGAAGTCTGTTCTGTCTCCGGCACCGTAGTCTGTGGCCACTACCATCGTGCCGTAGCTATCGCATAATCTCGAGTTCTTACACCTTACCTGAACACCATCGTTCATGAAACAATACTGTATTAATATTGGATATTGAAGTGCAGAATCAAAGTAATAAATCCCTTTATCCTAATTAACTCTATATAAACACAATTGATTCAATTATAATATGTTTATATGGAAGAAATGTGTTAGTTGAATCTTTAATTAGTCTGTTAAGACGGTTAATTACTTGGTAGCAAGCGCCGCATCCAGCGCCGCCTCTCCATAAGCCAGACACGCCTGCAACCATCCCATAGTTCACAGTTCTGCCGTAATCTCCATATCCACAAGCTCCACCTGATAACATATATATATATGTAAATCATTATATATAGTATTTATAAGGGTACGTGCATATGTATCATTTAAGGTAAACTAATATAAAGAATAATGTAGGAGCTTTAAAGAGAGAACACGCGGCCTCTATATATATGTAGTGCATCCACAAGGAGGTTTTGGTGCAAACTACAGACTGAAACGCTCGTAGTGCAGGCTGGCTGCAATAAGGCCTGGCAAGCCTCTAGGCTAAGCCATGGATTTGTTTGAAAACAAATTAAGATATATAATAATATGTATAGACGTGGGGGGGGTTAATTATTTGACAAGTTCACGTACTTGGAGTTCCATAACCATCTGGGGTACTATAATAGGTGGCTCTGGAGTCTGTGAAGCCTTGTGATAAACATAGTGCAGGCAGGAGCAGCAGCACGCAAGCAAGGCCAACCTGGTATTTTGAATGAAGCTCCATTGCTAAATGCCAAATTCAAACGCACAAAGAAGAGCAACGACGTTAAATGATGTGAATTGTTTGGGTTTACTGGTTCATGAGGCAAAGATGAGGCGAGTATTTATAGATTACAGGGGATGCTCTGTGCATTCAAAATGAGATAGATAGGGTCCAACTTTTCTTCCCATTGGAACACGCGATTGGATATATCGGAATAATTAAGCCCACATTCATAGACCTGGCGTCGAAATCTGTGTGTGTCTATATATTCGAAGCTATCCATATTTAAATTTATAATTAATGATGCCAAATTGCCAATCTGTGTAGTGCTGCAACATGCTACTATTTTCAGCTATGAAGATAGAGGAATAGGAAGATTTGACTTCAAATATTAGGGGCGGGTGGTAATAAAAGGGGCGGCTACAGCCAATGGAAAAAGAAAACAGGACTCACACAGATAGCTAGGACACATTCAAATGCCTTGAAGTAAGGAACATTAGTAAAAAGATACTATAAAATTATTTTATATATTTATTTATAATATATTGATAATGATTATGTAGAGTACCCACAATCTCAATTCATACTTCCAAGGCAAGTATCAACAGTTGACCCATCCCTCTCTCTTTGGCTAGTATCAACGATTTTGTTCTTCATCAAAAATCTAATTGTCTTTAATACATTCTCAGATCAAAACTTGCATTTTCTTTAAAAATTATTGATTCTGCAAAGTCACATAAAGGTTGACAAAAACTCTTCTTTTTTTCTTTTTCTTATATTACATATCTAATTTACCTTATACGGCTAGTTTTTTTTTTCACCTTCCCCGGTTGGTTTTATCATTCCAAGTTGATGGAAAAAGCAATATTCTTGAGAAGTATCCCAAATCTGAAGCCACATTAGCAACTAATGACGGCTCACATTACAATGTACGCCTCTACTGTTGACAGAATATACCCCCTCTACTTTCTTGTACCAAATGCTAAATTTTCTGCGGACAGGAAAACGTAGGGTACACTGACAAAGATAACCATCGTACTTGATCCGTTTGGTCGTGAGTAAGCGACAATTACAAAAACAATTTTTTGTTAAAAAAAAAAAGATTAATAACATTCGAGTTGTCCGGTATGCAAGCTTATCCTGAAGTAGGAGAGACTAGAGAGAGAAGAATAGTAGTTGGCATTGCGGACACGAACTTAAATACAATGGGTTTGTAAGCAAATTCAAAGCTTGAATTGATGAGGGGACACGATCGAGATTAAAAAAATAATTTTCTATGCACCCAAAGTACTGATCTTAATGATGAACAAGACTGGGTCAAGAGTAATTAGACTAAAATATAAAATGTCAATTATGAATCGCCTAAATTCGTTTCCTGACTTGGTCCTAATCAAATCTTCCTCCGTGTGTGTACCTGCATTTAAATATAATCCTGATGACAGTACTCTTCCAAGATCACAAATTAAACTCAAAATATATTCATTAAACAATTATATAATTATCGATAGTTATATGAAAAAATAATGCCTATATGATATTAGGGTATGGGAAGAAAAAAATTATCATGAAAAATGAAGTTATGTTGTACTATTAACTAAATTTTTTTAAAAAAATCTGACATGTTATATATGGACCTGGTAGCTTGAATTTCAACGACCCTGGCGATTTACATTTTGCATCATATCTTCCATGTCTGGTGAGCTGGTTGCAATGAAAATAGAAGTAAAGATCTTATTTTAAAGGAAAAAAGATAGACAATAACTAGTTTTTTTTTTTCCTGAAACACATATTCTCATATTAAAAACAATTGTATTTAAGTTACTGTCAAGTATTAAATATGAATATTTTTCCTAACAGAAATTAATTCTTTCTGCTATCTTAACAATCCCATGTCCAAATCGAGGGACGTGAGTTTTGGAATGGATGGGCTTGCTGATAATATGAACTTTGGATTATGAGGCTGACACTAATGGGTCAAAAGTAGGTTTGGGTTTGGGAGAGATGGACCAGGGAATATAGATGGGGATCCGGGTTCGGGCCTCGGGGCGAGGATTAACCCAATGCATGTGGACACGTGTCATCATCGGAGTTGTCAAGTAAATCAACGGCTATCCAAATCCTCCTCTTTTGTCTTTCAAGGATTTCGACTTCTATTCTTTTCTGATTTTCTTCCTTCTCCGTTCAGTCCCGAACAACGAGGTCGGAGCGCTCGTACCGGTGATCAGAGGAGTTTCATAATCCGACACGGGTGATAACAACAACAACAACAAGTTTCAGTGCCGAAGACGAGAGACCAAAAACATGGCTTTCAGTGATCCGACGAGAAAGGGGTTTTCATCTTTCATGACAGAGAAGGACAGATGACGAAGAGTTTCGGGCCTTTGATTCCTTCCACGTTAAGCCACGCACCATATGTGAGGATTTAATCATCTCAAAGGATCCAAATCCTATAAATGGAGGAACAAGGTGGCTGACGGCAGTGAAGAATTGCGTATGTGAAAATTTTAATTTCCCTCAGTCTTTTGACTTTCTATTCTCCTTTCCTCTGCTAATTCTATTCTTTTTCTGATTTTTTCTCAATCTATGTTTTATAGCCAGTTTATATATAATTTTAAGTTTCTTCTGTGACTTTTCATTAAATATTGAGTAGTGTGATTACTATAGCTCATGATTAACTCATTGCTTGTGATCCCATATAAAGACACGCACATATGTATGAAATAATTGTGGAGAACCAAACGATCATGCGTATATAAACGAAGAGGTTTCTTTATTCATATATAAATTCCATCATAAATGGAAAATACACAAACCCCTATTATTCATTCATTCCAAGAGACGTATTATTTATTTATTTATTTATTTATTACTCTCGTAGACATATTATTTATTCTTAATTTTTAGCAGACATGATACCAACAACTTGCATTCTTTAGAGCCACACAGCTTACGTAGCCCAATCCTCGTCTTGGATCTTACTTAGACTTGAACTTGAGAATCATAGGAAGCTCCAACCTTCCAATCACCAGGAATTGCACTCTTGGTCGACTGCGCCCAGCCTGTTCTTCCACTGAATCGCAGCCTCAGCATCAATGGTCCACGTGGTGCGCCAACTATATCAAACACTGCCCCGTACGCTCTTCTCATTGGCCTCCATTCATGGCGATCATTCTGCACATATATATATATCATTATCGTTTCAGTTATCAAAAACATGCCCTTGGTGATCTGTGAGTGTGCATGATTAATAATATGAAGAACGAAGCATTTATTTCAAACCTGATATATCTCAACGGCAGTGACGTCGCTCATTCCAGGCACGTATTGAATCACAATAGCAAGGTAATATGGGTATTTGCTTGATTCGTGGATCTTGATACGCACGTTATAGCCAGCAAATCTGCAGGGTACCCTCCTGTATTCGATGTCAACGACGCCGTATTTCTTGAGCTCTTCTGATGCTCTCGGATTTCGTCCCAGATCTTTGAAAGCATTTGGGCTCATAATGAAGTCTGTTCTGTCCCCTGCACCGTAGTCTGTGGCCACTACCGTCGTGCCGTCGTTATCGCATAGTCTTGGATTCTTGCACCTCACCTGATGAACACCGTCGTGAAATTCAAAACCAGAGTTAATTATCCTTTATTCTGACTCTATACTAATTAATACAAATGATTCGATTGCAGTATCTTTAATTATTGTATGGAAGAGATGTGTTTGTTGAGTCATTTAGTCCGTTAAGACACTTACTTGGTAGCAAGCACCACATCCGGCGCCTCCTCTCCATAGCCCAGACACGGCTGCAACCCTCCCTTGGTTTGCAGTTCTGCCGTAATCACCATATCCACAAGCTCCCCCTATATATAATAACAAGTTACTAGAACAACACTCTATCATAAAGACAGCAAAAGTAATAATACCTCGCAAGAATATAAAAAATCTCTTTCCCTGTAGCAAGTTTATATCATAATTCTAATGCATGCACATGAAGGTTATGGGTTCTAACTCTAAACTTAAAACTCATCATGCAAGCTGGTGGCTGCAGAATAAGACTCGGTGAGCCCAGGCTGAGCCATGGCTTCGCTTATAAGAAGAGGAAAATTTCACGTACTTGGATTTCCGTAGCCACCATAATAGGTAGCTCTGGAGGGAGTGAAGCCGTAAGAGTAGCTTAGTGCGGCAGGTAAGAACAGCATCACCCAAACAATAGCCATTTGGTATTTAGAATGATGTTCCATTGCTAAATCCAAATGTTCTAGCGCGCAAATATTAACAAGAGAAACTATACGTTATATGTAAGTATTTGTGTTTTACTGATTAAGCAGGCAAAGACGAGGAGGGTATTTATAGACTATAGCGCAGGCCTTGTGCACTCAAAGGGAGATCCTCTGTAATTTTCTTCCCCTTGGAACAGTGGATTATTGGATTGGATTGGAATTAAGCGCACACGTAGAACCTAGCATCTAAATCTGTGTGTGCCTATATATTTATATGTGTGTCTGAAGCTAATTTATTTATGATTAGAATGCCAATAGCTGTGTGCTATTGCAATAATATTTATATTAGGAAGGTATACAGAAGAATGGGAAATTTATACGGAGATTAGGAGCCTGATGGAAATATAATAGATCGAGGTAGCCAGAGGAAAAGGAATACAGGGCGTGCACACAAGAACAAATTCAAATGCTTCTGAAATAAGAATCATTAGGAAAACGATAATCTAAAATCATTTTAATTATGTATAATGTATTGATTATAATTAAGACCGGCAATCTTTATCATCAATTCTTGCTTTTAAGCAAATGTCGTTTTAGAGAAAAGTGACACCTCTTTCACTTTCACTTTCTTTTTCATACTTCATGGTCTGTAAAACATAGTTTGTCTTAAACACGTTTGAGATTAAAACTTGCATTTTCTTCTGGTCGAAAATGCTTGTGCAAAGCTATATATAATTATATATGGGTTGAATAAAATTAGTTTTTCTTTTATTTTCCTTATATTATATATCTAATTACGTACCTTATCAGCTCGTCTGGCCAGACTCTTTTCTCCTAGGTAGGTAGGTTTAATAATTATCAACTTGAGAGTACGCAAAGCACAAAGCAAAGGGAAAAACCAAGCCGAAAAAGCAACGTGGGGCCCAATGACGATCCTGGTTAACTAAAAGAGAAAATTAATTAAAATTAAGTCTCCGAAAATATTTTTTTAAAAAAAATGAGTTGTAAATTTAATTGTTTATAATTAACTCATGAATTTGCAGTTATGGAAATAATTATTTATGATGATGCTTTCAGAAAAAATTATGGGACAGTTAATTATATCCTCTTTTTGGCCAGAAAAATTATATTCTCTTTTTTGAAACCCTTCCAAGAGTATAAGTAACTAAATCTTAAGCCATGTTAGCAACTAATAGAAAGTACAGGCTGGCATTTCAATGGACGCCACTGTTGACGGTTTCTCCCCTCTCTGCCTTCTCTTGTGGAATTTTAATTTTGATCCTTTTGCCTTTGGTCAGAGAGTAGGTGACAACTAAAATAAGAGTACAATTTTTTCCACTTTAATTTAATTATGGTCTAGTGTTGGTATTTAATTCAATAATAGTCTAGTTCTGGTATGCAAGCTTATCCTGGAACCCGAGAGAATATATATGGAGAAGAATGGGAGTTGGTATTGCATAAACAAACTTAAATTCAATGGGTGATATCTGTAAGCTAATTCAAATTCAATATGCTTGAATCTATGAATATATATTGAATCGGTGAAAATATTAATAAATAACATGTTTCGATTTTTGCTTTTGAATTTTTTATACGATAATTTACATTCTAATATGATATACTCCTTTGATCTTAAATATAAAATCATTATATTAGTGTATATAAAGGTTTTATATTTAAAATCGGGAAAGTACTATTTATCCCAATCAGCCATAAAAAATATAACTCGCCTTAAACTTTATATGATATACGAGTAGTATCCAAAAATGCATTAATCAGTCTGGTGCATTGGCGCGATTGTCCTGCATATGCTTCGTTATAAATATTCTATGGCCGTTTACGCAGGCCTTGGTTCATGTGACACTGTATTATGCATTTTTTTTAATTAAAAACACAAACACAAACAGTACGAAGCGGGAGCAATTAAATTCATAACCTAATCATTGGCTTGTCTTATGCTTTCAAACTTAATTAGAATATACTGTCTCCAGTCCTAATTATAAATCTTATTTATAGACTACAAATAAGGTCTTATAATTAGGACTAGAGACAGTATATTCTAATTAAGTTTGAAATATAGTTTTTTTTTTTATTCTAAGGATTAGAGTGGGCTGCACAATTCAAATAATTTTTAAATCAATAATATCAAAAGTTTGATAATGAATATTCAAATAATTGTATATCACTACATTATGTTTACTTTTTGTACTATGCGTGTATATTAATTTTTTTTTTTATTCAAATTGAGAGCGGTAAAATATTTTACGATTTGTTTGTGTGCATGTCAAATTTTAATATGTCATAAAAGTAAAAATATGTTAATTCAGTATAATCGTTTCAAGATCGAACCATAGATTGACTGCAGTCTAATTAATCCTTGAAGAATCAATTAAATGAGTGCCTCGATCTTCAACGACAAAATCCAGTTTAAGTATGCCACTGATTTCTCACTCAAATACAAATTAAACAGAAATAGGCCCACATACATGATTGAGCATTAAGCAACATCCAAACAAACCCTAACCTAAGAACGCGACATCCATCCTCTCAATTCCGAAAAAAGACATAGAACCCAGAGAGAAACCAAAGTTGGCACCATCTCCCTCCTACAGAAAAGCTATAACGTAGGAGTAATTACCTTTGGAACTATGTAACTCCTTATTTTCTTAATATCATCTTGACTTTTATAAAAAATTAAAAATAAGGTGAGAGTAATTTTTTGAAAAGAGGAATGTTTTCATATATACTATAAGATTCTGGCAAAATATATATATACACACTCAGATCTTTTGTAAATATTTTTAGGAGTATAAAAATTTTTAAAGTAATAAATAACATAAGACACTTGTAGAATTCACAGAAGCATTAATAATGTATGCTGAAAAATGTCATTAATGTAGTTAACTGTCAATTTATCTAGAAGTACTATCTTGTTTAACTATATATATAACAGAAGTTAGTAACTCGTTGGCCAAAGAAAAAAGTTAGTTACTCTAGTTAAATATAACTAGTTGGGAAAAAAATCAAATATAACTAGTTTTGAAAAAATATTGTGATAATTTATTTTTAAAAAAAATCAGAACTATTAGCTAATTGTAAACGTGTTTCTTAAATCACGTCATTGAGTTTGGGTCTATGTATCTTATGCAAAGGAACTAGCATGTGTGTGTGTGTGTGTCTCTTCCTATTATGCACCAATGGTTGAAATCGGTTGCGCAAACAAAGAGGTTTCTTTATTCATATATAAACTCCATCACAGATGGAAAATACACAAACCCCTACTATTTATTCATTCCAGAAGACATTTATTTATTTCAATAGATTAATTTTTCAGAAGAAATAAACAACAACAACACCAAACAGCTTGCATTCTTCAGAGCCAAACAGGTGACGTGGCATACTCTTCATATATCCATGATCTTATTTAGACATGAACTTGAGAATCATAAGAAGCTCCGATCTTCCAGTCTCCGGGAATGGCACTCTTGGAGGACTGAACCCAACCTGTTCTTCCACTGAATTGCAGCCTCAGCATCAATGGTCCGCTGGGTGCACCAACTATATCAAACACTGCCCCGTACACTCTTCTCATTGGCTTCCATTCATGGCGATCATTCTGTTTCATCATCATTTCAAGTTGATAAGCACAATTATTAAGTTCCTCAGAAAACTAGAAGGAAACTAATCAGAAGTAAGCGTTGAAAGATTCATACGTCATATATCTCAAGGGCAGTGACGTCGTTCATTCCAGGCACGTAGAGAATGACGAAAGCAAGGTAGTCGGGGTATCTGCTGGACTCGTGGATCTTGACACGAACGTTGTACCCAGCATATGTGCAGGGCACCCTCCTGTATTCGATGTCGACGACGCCGTATTTCTTGAGCTCTTCTGAAGCACTTGCGCTTCGTCCCAGATCTTTGAAACCATTTGGACTCATAATAAAGTCTGTTCTGTCTCCTGCACCGTAGTCTGTGGCCACTACCATCGTGCCGTAGCTGTTGCATAATCTTGAGTTCTTACACCTTACCTGAACATATATACCATCGTCCCGTGAAACAATAATATATATATATATATTATTATTCGACAGTGAAATAATTCAAAATCAAAGTTAATCTATCCCATCTATACAAACAAAATCGATTCAGTTAATGTGGAAGAAATGTGTTTATAATGTAGTTCCTTAAGAGACTCACTTGGTAGCAAGCACCGCATCCAGCGCCATCCCTCCAGAGCCCGGCCACAGCTGCAACCTTCCCATAGTTTACAGTTCTGCCATAGTAGCCATATCCACAAGCTCCACCTATAAGTTAAAAGTAGCATAAGCATCACCAAAAGTAATTAAACAATTCTCAAAAGAATGCAAAAATTATTGCAGAATAAGGCTGGGAGAGCCTCTAGGCCGAGCCATGGGCTTGAATATAAAGGACGCGATGTGCATAGAGGGGTAGTATAATGAGAGGGGAGTTTCACGTACTCGGGGTTCCATAGCCATCAGGGGTACCATAATAGGTAGCTCTGGAGGGAGTGAAGCCTTGGGAGTAGCATAGTGCAGCAGGTAAGAGCATCATCACACAAACGAGGGCCACTTGGTATTTAGAATGAAGACCCATTGTTAAATCCCAAATATCCAAACGCGCTAATAAGAAGAAAGAACTAAGATGAATGTAAGTACTTGGGTTTACTGGTTAATTAAGCGAGCGAGGATGAGGAGGGTATTTATAGATAATAGTGGGGGCCTTGTGCATAGAAAGGGAGCTAGAAAGGATCCAATTTTTCTTCTCTCTGGAACACAGGATTGGATTGGAATAATTAAGTGCACACAAGGACCCTGGTATCTAAATCTGTGTGCGCGTGTGTCGCCGAAACTATAGCTATATATGAGTATAATGCCAAATTGCATCTGTGTTCTAGTGAAACACTTTTCTATATAGCAAGAACCACGAACCAGCGAATTTGATTCAAAGATTAGGGGCCGGATGGAACAATTAGAGGAGACGAAGCAAAAGGAATACGGGGCGGACATGGGCTGTGCACATTCAAATGCTTCTAATCGAAACAAGAAACTTGATAAAATATGATAGTATAAAATTATTTTATTTATATATAAAGTTATTAATATGTACGTTCAATTTTTATTTTTACGCAAGTGTCTTTTCAAGAAAGGTGCCACATCTTTTTCACTTTTCCTCGTATCAACCTTTTTACTCTTTATCAAACATGTTGTTCTTGATTGAGTTGAAGATCAAAAATTGCATTTTAATTTCCTTAATTTTTTTTTCAAAGTTATATATAGGTTGACTAAAATCATGCGGCCGGATTTTTTCCTATTTTTTTAATTTTCGTTATATATCTAATTGATTAATGATTAATTAAAAATATGTCAAATCTTGAGCCATGTTGTATTGTTGTTAGCAATTAACTTCTGTGCGCTCTGCATTTCAATGGACGCCACAGTTTGACGAGTTCGCCCCTCTACTTTTCACTCATCTGGAAGAGAGAAGGAAGGGAAGCGTTATATTTGACCCGTTTGATCGGGCGGGAGTTAGGTGACAATTAAAATTCATAGTACATTTTTTTTATTGTTTAATAACACCAGACGCTAGTTTTCCGTGGACAAGATTGGAAGTTGGTAATGCGGAGGCAAACTCAAATTCCATGGGTCTACCAGCAAATTCGATAAAGCTTGAATCTATGAATGGGTGCAAATAATGATTAATACTACATCTGGTCCAAAATATAAGTAATTTATAATTCCGATTGAATTATAAACTAAATCTTATATATAGGACTGGAGGTAGAGTAACATATTTGGATTTTTGCTTTTTCAATTATATATGTACATTTCTATTCTAGTTTTCATGGTTCTAATTATTAGCTAACTTGCAGTTTATGTATGACTATATGTATATCTACTTGATCCTTTGATTATTAACTCATAATTATCAATATCAATATATAAAAATTATTAGTAAGTTATGTTATTCATAACTAATTAATTAAGTTATGAAGAGCTGACCTTAAATTTTGTATGATGAATAAAAAAATGTACTGAATTGGTTGCATAGTGATATTATATGTTTGAAAACATGCTTTTACAACTTTCAAGATAAAAGAACTTTTTGATTGCCATGCATTGTGATCAAACCTGTTATCAACAAGTTTCGAATACATATTCTTTTATTTAATATAACTAAACACAGATATACACAAACATATCAATAACAGGCTTGAACTCAGGACTTCATTTAAGCATGACAGGTAATGTTGCTATTGAAACTAGTTGTTGAAGTTTCAAATATAACACACGTTGAAACCACGCACTCTCATGTATGTGTATACAATATGAATGGGGAGGAATGTTAAAAGGTAACGAGTATTATTGAAGAGATTGTGGATTAAGGGTATGATGAGATTAATGAATTGGCAGTGATGTTGATTGTTGGAGACATCATGTGGGTTAGGACTTAGGACAGTGTGAGGCATGACGCTATATGACCAACGCATGCGCATTTATGCGCTTTGTGGCGTGGGTATGGGGAGCGTTCCTGTTGTTGATGGGCAAATGAATATGTTATATATATCTGCGACATTCTTTTTCTGTTCTGAACTGTGATATATGAGAATTGATGTATTGTGATCCGTGCAACGTGGGAAGAAGCTGTTTATTGTGATTCGTGTAACGTCATGTGCAAGCATCGAGCATATGTTGAGCTTTTAACCATTTACATAAGCTTTTCCGGTGCACTTTTGCTAGGAGAACGGTGAGAAGATTGTTCGGTTTCTTTTGTTATGTACTGTTCTTGTCTTCTTTTGTTGTTTGATACAAGAAGGGGATACTCAGCCTATGTATAACTACTACGGGGTCCAGTAACAGACGCTGAGTCTTTATTCAGAAAGGGAGTCGGAACTATAATTCCGTGACGCTACTGAAAAACAGGTGGAACCAGGGTAACACGAAAGGGCCCATTTAGGCCACAAGTCATCTGTTTCGTTCTCATGTTGAATACTCTCTTTTATACTACCTTTGTTTAATTATAAAATTTATTTATATATTTATAAATAAGGTCTTATAATTAGAACTGAAAATAATATCATTAGTCAAACAGTTAAATATAATATTTGATTTATATCGAAATGGTTTAAGCATATATTCACACAAACATTAGTCTCATATTTTCAAAGCTTAGAATCTCATCCAAACGGGACGAAATTATTGTTTAACCATTTACATAGCTTTTCCGGTGCACTTTTGCTAGGAGAACGGTGAGAAGATTGTTCGGTTTCTTTTGTTGTACTGTTCTTGTTTCTTTTGTTGTTTGATACAAGAAGGGGATACTCAGCCTATGTATAACTACTACGGGGTCCAGTAACAGACGCTGAGTCTTTATTCAGAAAGGGAGTCGGAACTATAATTCCGTGACGCTACTGAAAAACAGGTGGAACCAGGGTAACACGAAAGGGCCCATTTAGCAACAAGTCATCTGTTCGTTCTCATGTTGAATACTATCTTAATTATAAAACTTATTTATATATTTATAAATGAGGTTTTATAATTAGACTGAAAATAATATCATTAGTCAAAACACGTTGCAAATAATATTGATTTATATCGAATATGTGTTTAAGCATATATTCACACAAACATTAGTCTCATATTTTCAAGCTTAGAATCTCATCCAAACGGGACGAAATTATTGTTGGGACAATTTGTCACTCACAATTTAATCATAAATGGTTGCATCTCGCACTTCGAGTACGGTGTTCAAATTTTTAGCACCACGATCCAAATTTAGGCATGGTGTTTTTAACCCGCTCCGAGTCTTAAATCATCACCTACGTTCCATTTATTAGTCAAACACGCCACAATATATTCTAAATTCTATTTTAAATTATTTATTATTTTGATGTTAATAAAATATTGCAATTGTTCTCAGCAATGATAAGAATATTATTTAAGAAATCAATATAGTGAGATTTAGTATTGAATATCCAAATATACATTTTTTTTGTGAAAAAAATACATTTTTATTTCATTGGATTGTGTCTGTTTTTGTGATTATATATTTGTATACGTATTAACATTTTGTATTTGAATACTAAGTTCTGTATTATTTTAACTTTACTATCTTTATTTCATACCAAAATTTAAATAATAATACAATTAAAATTATCCTTATGTATAATTAATTATAAATCGCTGGATCACAACTCTACTATATATGTTATAATCAATTATGAACGGTCGGCCAAAAAAAAATCAATTATAAATGAGTGCGTATATTTATTGTTGAGAAGACATCGATCACAAGCCCAAACAGCCACACAGGTCGCGTATTATTATGTACGTGGTCGCTTAAATTGTTTGAAGCAGGGATCTGATTTAGGCACGAATTCCAGTGTCATAAATAGCTCCATTCTTCCAATCGCGGGGAATAACATTGTTGGTGACTCTACCCAATCCTGGCTACCACTGAATCTCACCCCTAGCTTGAATGGTCCACTTGGCGTGTTTTGGAGATCAAACACTGCCCCAAATGTTCTCCTCATTGCCATCAATCTTCGCCATCGTTCTGTTCCAACACAATTAATATATACTAGTCCCTCCAAAAAGAAGAAGGAACATTAAAGAAGAAGGTTAAAATTAAGATTCATACATTGGATATCTCAACGGCCTGTCGACGTCGTTGGTGCCAGGGATGTAGATAACGGCAATGGAAAGGTAGTCTGGGAATCTGCTGGACTCGTGGATTTTGATCTTCACGGTGGAGCCGTCAAATGCGCATGAAACTCTTCTGTACTGGACGTCCACGGTTCCCCGATTCTTGAGCTCTTGCGACGCACTTGAATTAATTCCCATTTTTAAGAAACCATTCAGACTCATCACGAAGTCTGTTCTGTCTCCTGCACCGAAGTCAGTTGTCACTATCGTTGGCCCGTTCGGATTGCACAGACTTGAATCCTTGCACCTTACCTGAACCCAATACCATCCATCATAGTTAGATATGAAATTAAACACTTGTGCGCGCGCGCGCATTATTCCTCCATGTTCAGATTCAAATTGAACTTATTTTTTATATATATATGCATATATATATATGTATGACTATAAACAAGGTCTGAAATAGTATATATATATATTTATCGCTTAAGACAGACTTACTTCGTAGCAAGCACCGCATCCAGCACCATCTCTCCATAGGCCAGACACACCGGCAACCATCCCGGAGTTTACAGTTCGGCCGTAATCGCCATATCCACAAGCTCCGGCTATATATAGTAACAAAATGAATATATTTGTCATTTGGTCAAAATTATACACACACACACATCTTAAGAATATAAAACTAAACCGGCCAGCTATAAACTTAGAACTCATAATTGCAAGCTGGCTGCAGAATATAAGGCCCGACGCCTCTAGGCTGAGCCATGGCTGCAGAAAGTGGTGTGTTGTGTTTGTGGGGGGGGGGGATAGATGGAGGGGGAAATAGAGAGGAGTTTGACGTACTTGGGGTTCCATCGCCATTGGGGGTGCTATAATAGGTGGCTCTGGAGTCTGTGAATTGGGAGAAGCACAGTGCGGGCAGGAGCAGAAACAGACAAGGACGACTTGGAATTTAGGATGAAGTGCCATAATGACAATAATTCTAAAAGGAACAACTACGTACTTTAGATGGAAA